GAGTAGATACTGTTGCTGTCGTGAAAAGAAAAGAGAGATTGGGTCCCATAGTAGATTCCCGTTGATCGATCCTTTCTTCGATTCCTTGATCGCATCTGTGATAGTTTGTCTCCTGAGCATTAGTGCGGGTGGGCAAACATCAGAGCATTTGCTCAAAAGTGTTTCCAGAGCCAGTACTGGGCCACGGATACAGGAAATATTTTGGAGCATGCGAACTTGTCATGCAGACAAAGTGGTTAGTGTATTGGCATTTCCAGCATCTCTGATACTATTGGAAGTAATCTAATTGGCATCCCTTTTTTAACATTGGAAAAGGGAACATATGTCACTCTTTTGGAAAGTGGAAAAAATTCTGCTTCCACTTGTTTACCTTGATGCCACAATGCCAGTTGTGGTTATAATGTAAAATGCAGGAAAGGAAATAACTTACTTTGTAGTTCTCTAATTGCAACGCTGCCATCAGTGCAGACATGAAATGGTATTGGAGGCAAAGGAGCCTCTGGTAACTTCTTCATTGCTTAACCTACTGTGAAAATGTATTTTATATTAGTTTTTGGCTCAGCCCACTGAACCAAAGTGAGTAGCGCTTTAGCTCCATTGACTAAAATTAATCATCATTTTTTGAATTCCTTGTGTTTGTATTAGCCAGGTAGAGAATTTATTTTCTATTCATCCATCATCCCAAAAAGTCAGGTGGAAGGAACTTTTCCTCCAATCCTCTGACACACCTTGCATCATGCCTGAGTGGATCTGTGCCGAGGAGAAACCCAGAATAAATTGCACTTTGGTGAAAGGCAGCATTATTCCCCTTGGTTGAGGGAAATTCCTTCAGCCGTATTGCTAATAGCCAAGTGTTTTCCTTTGCAGAATGTGTACAAATCAGACTTGGAATGGCTGCGAGGCATTGGCTGGATGCCAGAGGGCTCTGTGGGAGTGGTCCATGCGAAACACTGCCAAGACCTGGTGAACGAGAGATTGTACAAGCTGCCTCGAGATGCACTGAAGTTTACCAGTATTGCTGACCCACCACCGGTTCTCTTGGCTAAGATCAACAGCCAACAGATCAGTGACGTAAGTGACTGTAACCCTTATGCTGCATTGCTGTATTGGTATGGACTAAGTATGTGTTTGAAAAAGAGGCAGTCTTCTCATCACGCAGTAGTATACTTGTCCTCTGCTCCTTCCCTAGAATCTGTATCGTGAAGCGTGGGACAAGGACAAGACACAGATCACTATTCCATCGGATACCCCTGTCATGATGCAGTCTAAGATTAATGCTCTGAACATAAGCAGTGTAAGTGAACTGATGCACAATTTGCACATGGGTGTGGTAGCACACTGACAGATAATTGCCTATTAGGTTGCTTCAGCTGCATATATTCTTAAAAAATAAGAGACAATTGTCTCACTGGCTGTGGCTGTAATCTTGCTCATTTGTATGTACTTGATCAAGGGACACTTTGATGACATTGCCAGTTGTCTTGATGACTAGACAAGCATTAAAATACATAGTTAATATTAGTTTTTTAAACTTACTAATTAGTTAAAATATTTTTCCTTATTTCTTTGGCAAATATACAGCCAGCAATTGCTCTCAACTGTTTGAAAGCAATTCACATAAGGGAAACATTAAAAAGCAACAGTATTATGGTGATGGCTTCGGGCACAGTGCATGGAGATGTTGCCCTGCAGAAATCCCATCTAAGCCTGACGTGCTTGCAGAAAGGCATGGAACTGCTCTGTATATGAATATTATTGATCACTTCCTTCATGTTTTGTAATATGCAGTTGAGAGACTGTGGGCAAATTCAGGAAAAGGAAAGCTTGGTAGAGTTTTTTGAAAATGTAAGAAGCTTCCGGCCCCAGAATCTAAACCCTATTAACATGCAAATACAATCTAGAAATAGAAGTCTTCATTCACATTTAAAAAGGCCAAGAAATCATGACATTGGAGCAAAAGATCAGGGCATTGTGGCGTAGTTTCAATTGCTGTCTAAGGAGAGATGCACCTTACCAAGTTCCCAAAAGAACAAAGCTTAGCATTGTTAGCCCTGGATTTATTTCCTACTTGTACCAAATACGGTCTTGAATAGCTCCCCCCGCCATCCTTTTAAATTTGGAATAGCTGAAAAAGCACAATTTGGAAGAGGAGAAATGGCACTTTCTGTGCTATGGATCACTGAAAGGATCAGAGTTGGCTTGAAAATAAACTAAGTTTCACTCTTTGTAGTTCCTGAGCACTACAGAACAGCTTGCTGCCAAATTGCAGCAGCAAACGTTAATTGTTAAATAGGTATTTAGGGTACCCAGTAAGGGTTCCAGTGAGAACAGTGCCATTGGGACATCCCACAGTTGCCTAGTGCTGGCTTACAGAATATTACAGAAGCAGCATGGCCTTTTCCATCGCACCAGTCCTTGTGATGACATTGTGCCTCTCGAAGTGACAAAAAGCAATATGGGGTTTAGGGGCCCTGAGAAGCTAATGGCTGCAGCCAATTGCAGATTTTGGTAGCTGGGCTGTATCCTGAGGTAATCCCAGAGTGACTCATGAATTGGCTGACTTTCTAATGGTGGCTTCAGCATCCAACACAACTTTTCATTCTGTTTAAGCTTTACTTACCTCTGCCTATCTAGACCTATATTATCAATTCTAGTTAACTTTGCTCTAGCTCTGTTAACAGGAATTACCATTCCTTTCTATTCTATGTCCAATGTCAGATGTAAAGCCAGTAATCTGATGTGTTTCCATAAGTTATGTTCATGCATTCAGTTTTCTGGCAGGATTTATTTATTTATTTGGAGTTTTTGTATGCTGCCCCATTCGCATAAGCCTCGGGACGGCTTGTTAGGCTGCAATTGTCTGCATTTTCCAGGCTGAAAAGCCCCTATGATGCAATGGGATTTACTTAAAAGAAAACTAGTACAGCGTTTCACTGGTAATCCCTGAATGTCTTTTACTTGTTTTCCTTACGTATTTTATGACCTAATTGAAAACTCTGTTATTTTGATTGCAGAAACATTATACTGGAGCCTGGGATGAGGCTAAGGCTAAAGGTTATGACATAAGAGCTGATGCAATTCCGATCAAACATGCAAGAGCCTCTCGAGATATTGCAAGTGAGGTACAAACTCTATTCACCCTCTGAAAAGGGAATGTTTTATTGAGACATGAGTGTCTTGGGCAAAAATGCAGCCCAGTATAACCCATTCTCAAAATCTTATTTATTCAGCCATGTACAAGTTGCTGGACTGCATGTCCATGATATTTTTAGCAGTATTTTAGAAGTATAGTCACTTCTGAGTTGAGTTAAAGAATCCTGAAAGCATATTGTCAGAGACCAATCCTGCCCACATTTACTTAAAAGTAAAACCAACCATGTTCAGTGGGCCTACTGCCAGGTAAAATTTAGCTTGCTTTCTTGGAATTGTTGTTTTGGAATAGAGATGTTCTCATTCTTGAGAGATTGCAACCAGGCATAGCACTCCCTTTATATCAGAAAAGTACCCTTTACTTATGCTCAGGAAGTATAGCAACTACTGGTTAATCATTCTACAATATACTGTTTTGTACAGCAAAGATTCAGTTGAAGAATCTTGATGGTTTCCTCTACTACAAATGGAATTCCCTAACAACTGGAGCACTGAGACCACCACCTCATTTTTCTACTTGCACATGTTTAATTGTTTAATCTTCTGTTTTTCCTGTTTAGTACAAGTACAAAGAAACCCATGAGAAACAGAAAGGCCACTATATAGGATGCCCTTCAGTGAAGGAGGATCCTAAACTTACATGGGCCGCCAAAGTAATGAAGATGATAAACGACCGATTGTATAAGAAGGCCTACCACGACTCAAAGGCCAGGATCACGATACCAGGGGACATGGTGGCCATCGAGGCAGCCAAGCAGGGGCAGGCCTTAGCAAGTGACGTTGACTATCATCAGTACTTGCACCAGTGGACTTGTCTGCCAGACCAGAATGATGTGATCCAAGCCAAGAAGGCATATGAACTTCAGAGCGATGTGAGTANCAGTGGACTTGTCTGCCAGACCAGAACGATGTGATCCAAGCCAAGAAAGCATATGAACTTCAGAGCGATGTGAGTAGATACTGTTGCTGTCGTGAAAAGAAAAGAGAGATTGGGACTGGATCCCGTAATAGATTCCTGTTGAACAATTCTTTCTTTGATTCCTTGATTGCATCTACTGTAGTTCATTTCCTGAGTATTAATCCTAGTCTGAATTCTTCTGCAAATGCAGTTCTGAGCAACCTGAGATACTGTTAACACTGCTGCTCGCAGTATTGTACAGTCTCTGAATATGGCATGCCAACTGCATATTATGCATGCATATTTCCAGAACTAAGTGTAATGCAGCCAATGTCAAGGCTTTTTATCATTGTTTTTGGTTCCTTGAATACAGTTGTGATCTTCTAATTTTACTTTTGATTATAAATAGATTTTTAGGGGTTTTCTTATTGTTTTGGTGTTTGCTCTTTTTGGTGTGTGGGTAATTGTCTATTAATTTGAGAAGTGAAAACGAATTCTCAATTTACTTGTGGATGCTGCAGATTGATAGTCTTATGTAGAAAAGCCCTCAGTGGACATGTATAGGGTAGTCCTGAACAATTTTCATATCAAGCATTGATTTCAATTTTCTACACATCTTCAAAAACTAATGCCATTTCATACCCACTGTCAATACAGATGTGAAACATCATTACAGCTATAAGATTCTATATTAACTTCTTAATTTGTCTAGTTAAAAAAATCTATTTTAATTAATTTTTGAACAAGCTCAGTGAAAGTTAGAGAATGGTACTAGGAAGTGTGATTGGATATTCATTTAATATCTTTACATCTGTTGTGGAAACACTTTACCTTCAGTTTTGTAACCCACTACCGTGGTGATTGAGTTGTCCTTAAAGACATACAATGTTTATGCTTATGCAGTATGGTGGCACTTTTCTTAAGCTGCATTGCTAACAGCCAAGTGTTTTCCTTTGCAGAATGTGTACAAATCAGACTTGGAATGGCTGCGAGGCATTGGCTGGATGCCGGAGGGCTCTGTGGGAGTGGTCCATGCGAAACACTGCCAAGACCTGGTGAATGAGAGATTGTACAAGCTGCCTCGAGATGCACTGAAGTTTACCAGTATTGTCGACACACCACCGGTTCTCTTGGCTAAGGTCAACAGCCAACAGATCAGTGACGTAAGTGACCGCACTCCTTATGCTGAAGTGCTGTGTTGGTATAGGCTAGGTATGTGTATCTTTTCATTACTCAGTAGTATAATTTCACCTTTGCTCCTTCCCTAGAATCTGTATCGCGAAGTGTGGGACAAAGAGAAGTCGCAGGTCACAATTCCATCGGATACGCCTGTCATGGTGCAATCTAAGATTAATGCTGCAAATATAAGCAATGTAAGAGAATGTATGCATATGCACATGGATGGATCAAGCACACTGGTGTTTTCATGTCCATAGACTGCCTTAGTTATGTAATATGCAGGATCAACTTAGGATGTCCCTTCTCTGCATGCTTATGACATTGTAATTAATCATCATTTTGCACACCATCATAAATATGTTTGTCCTAGTGCAATGCTTATTAGGATTAGGCTGCAAGTAAAACCTAATCCTGAAAACATTGTTGAACATGCTACAGCATGCCAAGTATTTTGGCCCATTCTGGTTCCTTTCCCATCCACACAATGGGGGCTGAGAGATGAAAGATTGATGACCCAGAAGGAGGAGATGAAATACTACAAGCAGTCGAAAACATTGTTGACAATATTATGTTGGACTGTGTGTTTTCATCCAGAAACTTTACACAGAAGCTTGGGATGACATTAAGAAATATATTGACCTGAGAGCAGATGCAGTCCCAATCAAGACAGCCAAAGCCTCAAGAGAAATTGCCAGTGATGTAAGTAGAATGTTTCAGGATTTGATGTTTTATCAGTAGACTTTAGGATTGGATTAGATGGTATCAAAATGCAGGAAACAGAAAGTACCTTCTAAAAATACAACATATTCAAAACAAGATTTTAAAAAATTATAGGCCAATTTGCAGACAAATATTGTAGACAATTTCTTTGTCAATTGTCCTGACATGATGATTTTTAAAGATGAATATCAAGCTCTACCAAAACATTATTAGCAGAAGATCCCCAGTTGGATACCCCTGATATAAAACAGTTAAAACAAAGTACGATCTTCCCATTTTCAATATTTAGAAAACACAAAGTCCATTTTCCCAGATTCACCATTTTCCCTTTTTATTGTTGTTCCTGACTAAATTCATGGAATGAGTGGATGGTTTGAAGTATCCATCTTTCTATTCATTCACAAATAGAAACTTTTAAATAAAATATTTTATTTGATATATTTTTGATCTCACTTTTTAACCCAAATAGTTGGATAAAGCTGATTACAAAAAGCAAAAGTATAGCAAAATTGTCAATAACCATCTATATAGTGTGATGCTGTGAACATTTCTATAGAAGTAAGGCCACCGTTCAGTAGGGCTTACAAGTAAATATGTATAGGACTGCAGCATTAGGTTACAACCCTGGGCATGTTTAGACAGAAATAAGTCATCTTCTTCCAACATGGCAGGCTGCGGGATCCTTCGCTCTTACCAGTTTGGTAATAAAGTTTATTTTAAAAAATGCAGAACCATTCCTTACAAATCCATCTTTGCTTGATATGTATCAAATGAAAATCCTAATTGTGTATTTCTTTCTACTGCTATTAGTACAAGTACAAAGAAGGCTACCGTAAGCAAGTGGGACATCACGTGGGATGCCGTGATGTCTATGATGACCCCAAGATGGTACTGGCTATGCACGTAGCCAAGCTGCAGAGTGAGAGGGAGTACAAGAAACATTTTGAGAAATACAAGACCAAGTTCAATAGCCCAGTGGACATGCTGTCCATCTTGTTGGCCAAGAAATGTCAGAAACTGGTTAGCGACATTGATTACCGCCGCTACCTGCATGAATGGATATGTCTGCCTGACCAGAATGATGTCATTCAAGCCAAGAAAGCATACGAGCTACAGAGTGATGTGAGTTCTTTCAACTCATTATTCATACATCTTTATTTTTTTTCATTATAGTTAGTTTATCTATAAAAATAATAAACGGGGATGAGTGTTTGTCCAACAATCTCCACCATAGCTCTGAGGCTGTGGAACCTAGCCACCTGAAACTTGCATAATAGGCAGAGCCTAAGGGTATGCCTCTGTGGGGCACCTCCCCACCCCCATATTGAAATGTGGCCACATTAGAAGCTCTGTAAGTTTGCTTCCGGCCTTTGCTGTGTCAGCATAAGTGTTATTTCCATCTATGTGAAGCTGAGTCCATTTGCTAGCTAATAATAAAGTTAATTACTAATGCATCTCATTATATTTTTTCCCTTGGTCTGTTTAATCTCTCATGGTATATGGTGGATTATTACTGTTGGCTCTAGCATGATCTGAATAGAGATAGTTTGCCTATATTATACATCTTTTTGTATATGGCACTTAATAAGTGAGTATACCAGATAGGAAATTGCTAAGCACAATGGATTGCTTTAAAAAGTCTGTGTTTTATTTTTTAATTACACAGTCACACCACAGCCCAATGTATATATCCATGCAGACAAATCTCATTGATTTCAAATAATTGTGGATGTGAGATTTCTTCCATAGTTGCTGTTGTGCACTGTGTGGAGAAAAGAGAATGTATATGAGGAAGCTTAGTGAAGGCAAGTTGGTGGTTGAGAAGTATTGTTTAAGCAAAGGATTGGTTTCCATGAGGTCTTTCTACGTAAGGGTATCTGCTACCAGAACAAATTTCCCTTTTCTATACAGTCCTTGTACGCTGCCTGAATCAGGTTCTGCTGGGAGGGCGGGGTGTAGATGGGAATCTTTGGGGGCTGCTGGGTGGAAAAGAGGATGAAGAAGTCCCATGGTGTGGTGTTGAATTCAAGCCTATTGCAGCATAAGCAAATGAAGTTGTGCAAATTCTGTCAGTAGCATCCTTTGCAAACTGAGAGAAAAGAAGCTCTGTTTTCCTTTTGGCTGAAACTTTTCAAGCCTTGCATGAAACAGTACGTGCTCGGAAAAGAGTTGTAAGTAACCCTTCATACTTTTTCTGTCTATTCAGGCTGTTTATAAATCCGACCTGGAATGGTTACGTGGAATTGGATGGATGCCAAGTGGTTCTGTCTCAGTCAACCATGTCAAGCACGCTCAGGATATTTTGAGTGAGGTAATAATTAAAGTATCTCCCACAGAGATGCTTTCTGTTTCATATAAGAAATTGAGCCATCTGCAATCCTGCCACTATGAGTTGATTGCACTGTTCACACAACAGAAAGTAGTGATTCAGAAACAAGTGAATAAGGCTATGTTCACACTGGGGCAGGTCGGTGGAGATTGCTTCTGCAGTTCCTTCTCCACCATTTTGGAAACTACTTCTCCCTTTGTTTTGGGTTGCTCCTGGTAGTGCCAGCTTCCCACTGAATTAGTTGTTGCTCCCACCAGTGCAATGGAATGATTGGATACTGCCCAGAATGTTCATAAAAAATATCCTGTCAGTTTGCCTTGTCTTTAATGCACCCATTTCTGATGCAAGACTCTGTCTACCCACCCCCACTAGTTTTCATTTTGCAGTATGAAAGCAAGCATACAATTTTTTCCCATTCAGGTTTTGTTGGACTAATTCATCACTCAGAGTTCACTCATTCATTTAGGCATGTTTAAAATCCAGATTTTTTAAAGATTGTGAAAGTAGGAGATTTTAATTCAGCAGTAGTTACTCCATTACTCAGCATAGTGTGGACAGAAAGGGATGTACAAGATATGGGAAAACAAAAAGAAAAGATTGAAAAGGAGACTGCCTCTGCCCTTGCATGTTTTCTTCCCAGCACTTCCTTGTTTTGTTATTCTAATTATTGGTGTGATTAATTGTGCAACCTCCTTCCCTTGTTCTTTTCTTCTTTTACAGAGGCTGTATCGTACAAAGGTTGAAACTCAGCCATTTACCCCAGTGGCTGACAGGGTTGATTACCGTACAGCCAAACAAGGAGGGGAAATATTAAGTGATGTAAGTACTGCCTTACATTTTGATCTGGTTAAAGGAAAGGGATTGCACACCTGCAAGGTAAAGGAGGTGCTCATCTTTGCAGATGGAAGCAACATACTGTGCAAAAATCTCTGTGGGTTTTTACAAATCCAACTGAGCATGGAAACTGAGTGAGCAGCGCTCTGAAGCAAGGGAGAATAAAAATGCAAGTTCTGTGACAGTTATCTCACCTAAGCAATGACAGCATTTTCTAATATAGTTGCCTTGTGTGTTATCTCTCATTGTCTGCTGGCATCAGGAAGTCCTTGCCAAAAGCACTTTAAGAGTCAGCCCCTCACCATTTGTGCATTATGTCACAACCTAGTCAAGCTAAGTAGATATACAGTATGCCTGGAAGCTGGGAGAACCCAGGACTGGGTGTCTGGGAGGGTCCTGTGTGATACCTGCCTCAACTTCCTGCTCTTATACAGAATCCCCCACAGAATCCCCCATACCCACAGTTTTATAACAAAATAACAAGAAAATACATTTTGCAAATATGATGGAGAAGTGCACATTGTCACCACGCAACGTGTTTATCTCCACTGGTGCTGCAGTTGTCCAGATGGCAATCACATATGCTTCCTGCTCGGATATTTCCCTGCTGGGACAATAGCCGTTCCTGCCAGCCATGACATATTGGAATGGTGTGAAGAGCTTTATGTGACTTGCCTGAAGGGTAGGAGACCCTGAAAAGGTGTTTTACAACCCCTGGACTTGCCAATCTGAGTGCACTATTTCTTGCTTTCTTTCACCTTAGCACAGGGCAGAAATCTTTCCATTTTCCTCTGAGATATCTCTTAAAAATAATATAATTCCAGAATAAACATACTGGCATGTCGCAAGAAGAAAACAATAAAGAGTCTTTGACAGCACATTAAATGCAACAAATAAATTGTAGCATGATCTTTTATAGATGTCAGTGTATCTATGCAGTGAAAAGACTAGTGTACAAAAGCTGTAGCCACAGTCAAAGTATTAAACAGTGTAGTGTAGTGGTTACAGTGTTCGACTGGGGTTCAGGAAATCCAGGCTCTAGCTCTCACTTAGCTAAAAAGCTTCATTAGTGACTTTGAGCCAGCCACTGCCTCGCAGTCTAACCTACCTCACAAGATGGTTGTTGTGAGGATAAATGAAGTGTGTGTTAAAGAAGTGAAGAACAGAGTTTTGTAAATGGCCTTGGGCGCCTTGTAAAAAGAAAAAAAAGTTGGCTATAATATAGTCATTACCTGGGGGCAAATTCTGGTTGAGGAGATAACAAGAGCCACATGCCAGTGGCAGGTGGGGTGAAGGGGACAGTGCCTGGCCAAGGACAAATGTAATTCTTACCAGTCTCTATATTTTCTCAATAAGCGTAGAAACACAGCTCCATCCTAAATATGCCCATGCAGGAGTAAGTTTAACGTGTCATAGCTTCTAACTGTCTATTCTTGGAGACCGATTAACTTTAAGTCTAAACCAGCCAGACCTTTCTCTTCTTATGACCCTCGCTTTTCCATATAGAAACTGCTATCCTGTCTTTCACACTTTTGCAAGAAGGCTTTTCCAAAATTATTCTGTTGATTGTGTTCAGTATAGGCTTAGAATGTTTCTGAAGCCTGGACAGTATTTCTATTCATCCATGCTTTTCTCGGTGACAAGATAACTGAAGCACAAATAGTGATGGATTGATGCCTAGAATTTATAATCAGATATACTGAGCAAGTCTTGTTTATGCGTCAGTATAACTTGCCAATCTACAAAACATTTACTCTGTGTGCTTTCCTTTTTCAGATTAAATACCACAAGGAATGGAACAGCATCAAGTCAAACTATACCCTAACAGAGACACCACAGCTGCAAGCAGCTAAAGAAGCAGCCAGGATTCTCAATCATGTATGTACTTTTCTTGCTGAAATGGCAGAATGCAGGGAGCTGGAGTTAGTTTTATACTACAAGGTGTTGTTAAATATGAGGTATGAGGGGATGCAAGGAGTAATGCTGAACTAGATTCACATAGGGATGTAAATATAAATACAAGAGGAAACTACAAAAAAAGTTGTACAGTGGAGTGCTCTTTCTCAGAGTTCCAGCCAGGTGTGCCCCTTGCTTCAAAAAGTGCCATTTATCCCCCTGCCCCCAACAGTCACTCTGTGTTCTGTGGCCACTGAACATACTAAAATCTTACTGGATTATTCCATCCTGAGTTCTTTTTTATCCTTAACATTTTGTTTCTACTTCCTCCAATATCAGGGTTCCCTGAGTATGCTGATACCTCCCTCCTGCTTCTCAGTACTCCCATTTTTAATCTAATAGATTTATATACCACTGATCTTGCATTTTGTCTGCACAGCTGTTATAATTTAGCATATGAATTCGATACTAGCATGTACAAGAAGGACCTGCAACAATTGGATACATTATCACCACCTTGGAGCACCATGGATGAGAAGCCACACGGATAGAGGCCTACCCTGAATATAACATAGCCCTCTCTAGCCCAGAAAGTTAGCTCAAAGTGGGGCACAGTGGAACAGTAGTTGCCCTTGTCCTCATGCTTCCCACATCATCACCTCAGTTCTAAACTACCTGGCATGGCATGAGATGCAACCAAGCAGGGTGCCATTCCTGTGCCACTAAAGTAACACAAGAATGAGTCTTAGTTGAAAACTCATTATGCTGCATCTTCATATGTAGGATGGAAATGCAATGGTGAGTCACAAAGCAAAAGGTCACAGAGTATAACATATCAGCACTGTTGTGACACTGTTTATTTAAATGCTCTCAATCATGTTTGGTCCAGTTGCCCTTACAGTCAGGTTAAAGATAAGACATCTGGGGTGAAAAAGAGCATAGAATAGCAAACCACAAGGAGTCACTTAAGGAAACCTAAAACCCTTTTTCCAGCCACTGACAGCCGCAGGTAGTCAGGGATTTCAAAAGCAGAAAAGTAAAAGTTGGTTATCAGACCAGCATTTGCAATCTTGACAGGTGGGGTAGAAGGTTCAAAATGGCAAAAAGCTGCAGCAAGCCAAAATGATGTGATAGTATGTATTAGAATGTGGTCATTGGCTGATGGAAGTGTGTTCAAATTTTAGGATGGAGAATGTTAAATGTAAACATATTTTTCTAGATATTAATATTTCAGAGTTACAGCAAGGATTGTTTATAACTTTGTGGTCTTACAGTGAAAATGACAGTCCTTCAGGCAGATATTAACTCCTAATGCTACTGCTAATTTTGTGTTTCAGCATCTGTACAAGGATAACTGGGAGAAACAGAAATCTATTGGCTATATATTGCCTCCTGACAGCGTGCCTTTCCGCCATGCCAAGCATTCAAATGACGTTCAAAGTGAGGTAAAAACTCTTTAGCTTTTAAAAATCATTCAGAATTTTGTCATGTTTAAGGTACCCATCCCTAACATTATAGCCTGTATCTGGAATGGAGTTTAAAATTCTCGTGCTAGTGTCCTATCCTCATTTCAGATAGTCAATTTCCCGTGATAACTTACTTAATATTCTCAGAGAACAAAGACTGGCAAGTAAATACAAACAATACATTAGCATAAAATAACTTTATAAGAACTGCATTAGAACCAGAAAAGATGCAATGCTGACATTTAAAGCATCTGTGTTTTTCTGTTTCAGCTGAAATACAAGGCAGACTATGTCCACCAAAGAGGTCACTATGTTGGAGTCAACAGTATGCGAGAGGATCCCAAACTGGTCTGGTTTGAGCATGCTGGCAAAATCCAGAATGATAGACTGTATAAGGAGGCGTATCACAAAACCAAGTCCAAAATTCACATACCTCCAGATATATTATCTGTCCTCGCAGCAAAAGACTGCCAGCATGTTGTCAGTGAAATTCCATATCGCCATTACCTTCATGAATGGACGTGTCACCCTGACCAGAATGACTGCATCCAGGCAAAGAAAGCCTATGACCTTCAGAGCGATGTAAGTGATTATACTGTTTCAGTGTACAAGTTCGTCTCTCGCTAAGAGTTAAGCATCAGTATGCCTAAGCAGTGTAGTCTGGGGAGGAAGATCCAGGCTCAGTTTTGCCCCTTGGTCTACATAAGCGTAACACTGAGCTTCATCGTCTGATTTTCATCTTTTATAGAATATTTATAAAGCTGATCTGGAATGGCTCCGTGGCTGTGGTTGGATGCCTTTAGATTCAGTGGAGCATCGGAAAGTGAAGAAGGCTCAGGATCTGATAAACAAGGTGAATGAAAGTTTTCATTCATTTGCTGCTGCATTCTGTATGTTTCCTATAAATGTTATTTACAGTCTTCCTATCACACCTGTTTACAGAGACTCTATACAAAAGAGGCCCTGGATAATTTTGCAAACTTTACACCTGTAGAAGACCCTCCAGATCTTGTTTTGGCAAAAGAACACACAATCATTCAGAGCGATGTAAGTATCTTTTATACCAGAACTATGGAATAAAATATTTTGTAAAGAATGCTACAACAATGTATTATAAAAATTATTCTGTGAATTGATCATTCTAGCTAGCATAGCAAGAAAACATAAAAATATTGTATAATGCAATATTGCTTTTTGCAACTGCCTAGCTGGGGGGTGGGTGGGGGGCTTTTTTGAAACCTTTGGTGCTCCAGAGAAGGATAAAAAAGGCCAAAATTGAAAGCAAACTCATTTTGACCCTTTGGGCTTAAGCAGACCATAGTCACTCTGGATGTCATTTGGTTTTATTTATTCATTTCATTTATTTTTTCCAACATGGAGTACACATTCAAAAATGGCTTGGGACTTCTCAAAGTTTCCCAGGTCTGCTCTACAGCTTCTTTTTTCCATATAGTGTCAATCAGTTGGTAGCATAGATATTCTTCTGTGTTTATATCAATCAATGTCTATCAATCTCTGTTGTAATACTCTATGTTTATATGTACATAATAGCTTCGATCTTGGATCTGGATTCCATGGAAGGAAGGGCTACCTCACACTATAGATTACCCCATTCAGGAAGGCTCCTGAGTGTCTGTAGCATTTTCAGAGAGCTTGGAGGGTCTGCAGTGAGTGGGGAGGTGAGGGGCACCTTGTTCCTGCCTGCTCAGTTCCAGGCAGCTAACTCTGGGCGCCACTTGTTCTCCACTAGATCAAATGACTTGAAGGAAATCAATTAATGTTAAATTCAGCAATATGTGATGCGTATGTTATTAACTCGGCATATTTTTCTCTTTAGCTGAAATACAAAGAAACCTTTAACCGTGACAGAGGCCACTACATTGGTTCTGATGATACTCCAGCCCTGAGTCATTCTCGAGATATGGCTAAGCTGTACAGTGATGTATGTTTTTGGCTATTGTACTTGGCAATATCTAATTGTAAAAAAGCAATCTGTTTCTGTGTTAGTAGGTATGAACCCATCTTTTTGTTAGGTTTGTGACTTCCGGTGAGAATACCCTGTGTGCCCTGAACTGCTTCTGTCTACAGTTCTGGATCAATCAACCAATCTTTCTAGCTAAATTAGGAATCCTTTTTATGCTAACACATGCAAATGTGTCTTCAATATGGAAAAATGTATTATGGATAAGCCTTTATGGACTAACAACTATGCTAGTTCACACAAGCTTATTCCATAATGCATTCATTGATCCATAATTTTATATGCTACAACTGGTGAACTAGCTACCCTTCCAGAAGGATAGTCCTATGAAACAGCTTAGTAGGTAGCTTGGTCAAATCCTTCTCCTTGTCTGCTCCTAACTATTGAAAGTGGGGAGCACATAACTCAATGGCAGAGCAAGTGTTTTGTAACCTGATGTTCCCTGGTTCAATTCCTGGCATCTGCAGGTAGGGCTGAGGCCCTAGACAGCTGCTACTAGTCACTGTGCGTAATACTAGGCTCAGGTTCAGGGTTGGGTTATGATATAAGACAACTCCATGCATATGTTGTGAGGCTAAATGAAGTAAGAGCTAGGAATCGTTTCTTCTAGTGCCATAATTCTATAGAAAATAGAAGAATCTTGCTTTAGACTTTTAATTTTATTATACATTATTTTAAAGTTACTTTTAAGGATGAAAACCCTTGTAAGATGTCATAGATGATAACAGAAACAGCATAAAAATAAAAGTTAATATGAGCAATGGTTTTGAAGAAAGCTGGCAGCTCCCAAATTAAGAAAGGACAGTAAGAGCAAGTGGGTCTTCAGGGCTTTCCTGAAAACCTGAGAAGGAGCCTGATAAACACAGCATCTGTATAGTGTGAATTGCCTGATCCTGCCTAATCTTGGAAACTAAGCAGGGTAGGGCCTGGCTGAAATCTGGATGGATGATATAAATGTTGTGAACTGTGCAAAGAGCTTTGGCTATGGGTGGTATGGAAATATAATAATAATAAATCCCCAATGGACACTTGTAGTAGTTACGTGGGACCTCTGCGGAAAGGCTGTCTCCTTTCTGTTCCCTAATCTAAGTGCCCTTGCTGGTAAGCAGGTGAATGAGTCTGTCTGATGACATAAGGGTATAGGCAGGCTAGTACAAGTGAAGGCACATATTCAAGTAACTTGGGCTCAGATTATGAATGGTTTTATGTGTTAAAACCAGCACTTAAAATTGTGCTTGGAAATGCTGGGGCAACTAAGGAAGATGTTACATTCCTGAGAGTCCACTGGTCAGCTCTGGTCATTATCTAGATCACGGGTCCTCAAACTACGGCCCAGGTGGCGGATCCAGCCCCTCATGCCCATTTGGACCCACCGCCCGCCACCACCAACCTCAACCCGCGTGCAGGGAGGCAGCGGTTTGCTCGCACAGAGAAAACGATCTCCAAGCGAGCAAGCTGCTGCCTCGTGCGCCCGCCTCACAGTGCATGCCTGCCCGCACCTTGCCTCCTCTTGCCGTGCACACCCGCTGTGCGCCCCGCACCTGCCTCAGTGCGCATATCTGCACACGCCACCCCTGCCTCTGCACTGGCCTGTGTGCCCCACTGGCACCACCTTTCTGGCCGGTGCCCAGCACCGGCAGCTTTCAACTGGCCCCCTGGTGGAAAAGTTTAAGGACCCCTGATCTAGATAGTTGTATTTTGCAGGAGCTGACGTTTCAGCCTATGTGATAAGAGAATGTGAATAACCAAAGAATGTCCCCTCCAAATAAGCTGAAATTCTGCTAGCATACAAGCCTAAATTGATAAAAAAAAAAATACTCCTGGCACCCCTGCCGTTTGAGCTTCTCCAGTTCATACCGAGCCCAGAAGGAGCATATCCAAACTGCACTCTAGGTGCTTCAGGGAAACTGCAACCCCATCTAAAACCAGATAGATTCTTCCATTCAGATTGGTTGATTTTACCTTTTTTACCCCCTTCCCTTCTTTGTTTTTGTTCTTGCTTTGGTGAATATTTACATTTGTTGAAAAATGCCCTGATCATTTATATCTAATGTGCACTGTTCATTATCTAGTACTTATACAAGGAACTGTGGGAATCAAATAAGGCCATTGGGTACACTCTGCCTCCGGACTACATCCCCATTGTTGGTGCCAAGCATGCAGATTACATTAACAGTCAGGTTAGTGTGGACTTTCTTTCTATTGTTAACTATTATTCCTCTGCTTGTGGGTTTGCTGCAGTTTTTTAACCCAGCATATCCCATGTTTACACTTTACAGCTTAAATATAAAGAAGTGTATGAGAAGCTGAAGGGCCATTATCTGGCTGGGAAACAAATAAACGACTTCCCCAGTGTTGTCCATTGTCTTGCTTTCCAAAAAATAAGGAGTGCGGTAAGGAATTTTCTTTTTCTTCTTCTTTTTCACTGAGTGAGTTTCTTCCTTTAGTTGCAATAATTTCAGCAGGAATGATGAGCATTGTGCAAGAAAAACATGTGTAGTAATATTTTCCTCCTTAATATCTTGATCTCTAGTTGGCCTACAGGAAGAATTATGAGGATACCAAGGCACACATCCATATCCCAAGTGACATGATAAACCATGTGCTGGCTAAGAGATGCCAGTATATCCTCAGTGACCTTGAATACCGAACTTACTTACATCAGTGGAACTGTTTACCAGAAGAGAACCATGTTATTCTGGCTAAAAGAGCCCAGGAAATTCTGAGTGATGTATGTAGCAGTTTATTTGCTTGATCACAAAGAGCTGCTTTGATTTTTCCTGCAAAGTAACGAAAGCAGTTGTGTGATTGACTCACTGCCCTTTTGCATTACCCACTGGAGTGGCACAGTGTGGTTGTGAGCCAGGAAATCTCCAGTTCAGGCCTTGCTTCAGCCATGGATAGTATCTGGCTGATGTCTCTTTCTCTCGCAGTATTGTAGACAGAGTCATGCAAGGGTTGCCTTGTTGGAGGCTATTTTCCAAGCAGACTGAACGCAGTGTCACTGTTCAGGCAGTGGGTCATCACATACCAACTGCTGGGCAGGGGGAGGTGGAGATGCACCGAGAGGAGGGTTGTTGCCTGTCATCCCTTCCTGTTGAACATCTGGGGTGGCCTAGCAGGGAGCGGCTGGATGGGCTCATTTTTTCTTCATTTCTTTGTTTACCGTGGCATCTAGTTTTATTTTGAAATAAATTCTTTAAAAAGAACATCATACATAATAATATCATGAAATCACTAAAGAAATCACTGCTTTTGCTTATTATAATTCTTAGTCAATCACCATTATATTTGTGGAGCAATTTGAGTAAAACAGTCTAAGGATGAGTTAACCATCTAATGCATGAAAGAAGGATTATATTTCACGTTGCTGGGGATAACACTGCTTGCCTAGCTTGTATCATTAAGATTGTGTATGTAAGAGTTGCGTGTATATGGAGAAAAACTTCTACAACTCCCACCATTCCTCAGCTAGCATGTTCCTATGTTGTAGGTGGGGAATGGTGGGAAAGGGAGCATTCGGGCTCTTTTCTGTGTAAACATGCACATGAGTGTGTCCTAGCATGCCTTAAATACTCCATAGTTCTGTGTGCATAGATGACGATGCTGCTGCCACCCATGCAGCCATTCCCACCTTGCAGGATGCAGCAATGCGTATTTGTCTCTTGGGGGCCTAAACTTTAGCATGATTGGCGATGCTAGAATGAAATTTGAGAGGATAGGAAGGGAGGTGGTGTTTATTGATTTTCAAAAATTCTCTTTCCCTGATCTGTAGGTTGTATACAAGGATGACTTAACATGGCTGAAGGGAATTGGATGCTATGTGTGGGATACACCTCAGATCCTGCATGCTAAGAAGTCCTACGATCTTCAGAGTCAAGTAAGCAAACTGATTCTGTATTAATGCGGGAGCAGAAGTGGGAACTGTGTCTCTAGAAGGCTTCTGTGTTTAATCAGTTTGGGGTTCATTGTATCTCATTCACTGAAGCAGTGAATAATACCACGTGGCATGATTAGAAAGAAGTCTGCCTGGAATCTTGGAGAAAGGCTTTCAGTTAGGGCAGACAAAACTAAGCCAAACTGGGCCAGGCGCAGGATACATTCCTTAGGAATGTTAACATTTATGGTTTTGTGAACAAAGGCAGGCATAAATAGGTTAAAATATGTCTGTGGGAAATCTCCCTTCCTTAACCATTAGGAATGTGTAAGTTTCAGAGAAAGAGTTGGGCATTAGCTAACATTTTAAACTATCTGCCTGTATCCTGTTGATCAGCATGCTGAGGCCACCTTCCTCAGCATCCAGATCTTTTGGACTTCAGCCCTAGCTAGGAAGGCCAATTGTAATAAATGATGAGTGTGGTAACCTGGCACATTTGTAGTGCACCAGCATGCAGAGGGCTGTTGCAGGGTCCCATAACCCACAGGGTCCCAGAGGAATTGCACAACCCAAACAAAGAAATCACAGTGTTATATAATATTAAAGAACCAGGTGCAGCTATTCTCAGTGATAATAGTTATTTCTGTCTTGGTTCCACAGCTGATATACACAAAAGCAGGAAAAGAAAATTTACAGAATTTTGGTCTGGTTATGGACACTCCAGTTTATGTAACTGCCATCCAGAGCGGTATCAATGCCAGCGATGTGAGTTGTTTCCTTCCTTTTTTCGTGTCCCAGTTCCTTTGGTTATCATTGTTTTTCTTCTGTAGTTGACATGAAGTGTATGAATTGCTACATCTGCCTTTTATTATAGGTGAAATACAAAGAACACTACCATAAATTCAAGGACCAATATACCACCGTGACAGAACCAGTAGATCACGAAAGGATTAAGAAGCTCAAGTACCTTTTCAGTAATGTGAGTGTTTTAATTTTATTTTGAAGGAACAGATGAGATGGACTTGTTTTGGAGTCTTACAAATTCCTTTAATTATAGATATTGCGTAAAGCAGCATGCATGGCAGCAAGGATGATGGTTCAGGTCTTGAAATTACCATCCATGGACAGGCAAAGCTATTTAAGTCAAGCAGAGGTTTTTCATTGACCCCCCCCCGCCCCCCAAATGGATGTAACTGCCCCCTTCCTTAACAATCTGAACCAAAGCCTAAGTTTGAGGATCTATTTCCAGGAGTTAAATCCTTTTCTGCTTGGGCTGGATTCCATTAGAATCCATTTTGTTTGTATCTTCTCAGGTGGTTTTTAAGTGATTGACTGGTTCAGATAGAGAAACAGCCCTCTGGTGCACAATGTAGCAGCTAGGCTGCTAGCCAGCATATCATACTGGAAGCACATTGCACCCGTCCTCAACAAGCTGCACTAGTTGTTGGGTGACTTCAAGTGTTGGTTTTAACGTTTTAAGCCCCAGGTGTCATGAGACCTGAAGGGAAACACCTTTCTCACCATGAACCCATTTAGGGTATTGTGATTCACAGAAGAGGACTTCTGAGGACATTAGTAGCAGCAGAGGCCTATTTGTTGGGCACAGGTGAAAGGTCTTTCTCTTGTGTATTGACCTCAAGCTCTGGAATGTGCTTTAATGCTTTAGTGTTTTCCTGTTTTTAAATGACTGTAGCAATATGGAGATGACTCTTCAGACAGGATGGTTCACTTTCATCCAGGCAGTTTTTGCCTCCCCATGCTTCCTGCTCTGCATTTCTGTTAGGTGGCTGTTTTTTGACTGTCTGGCAAAAGTGTTTCTGAGGGAGCAGAAGGAAGCTGAACCAGCTTCAGCCTACTTTGTATCTTGGCTGTTCCCGTCTCCTCCATCTCCAGTCCCAGAAAGGCCCCTTTTAACTCCTCTTTGACGCTGAGCTTCCAGCCTCAGAGAGCACCTGGTGTGGTTCTTTCCATGCTTGTTCTTGGGACTGGAGTGCCAATTCACAGCTCTAAGAGCAGAGCTTTGTGTTTAGCCTCAGAGCAGAGAATTCAAATTATCCTATGTCCTCTCAGATAGTATTTAGGGCCACAGCATCATTTCCCCTTTGTTTTTATTTTCCTTGTTTTAAATTGCTGCACACTGCCTTGATTTTTAACAAGCAAGTTGGTATATAAATGCTACTAACATATATTGATTAATAGTCTACTTTACTTGGGTAGATTTTATCTAAAATTAATACAGAAGTGTTTTGATTCTCCCCTCTTCAGAACCTGTATAAAAGGATTTGGGAGAAGCTGAAGTCTGCCAGTTACACATTACCTCCTGATGCTGTGCCTTTTGTTCGTGCCAAAGAGCTGAAGTATAATGCCAGTATTGTAAGTGCACTCAAGCAATGTATTCCTAAATTTGTTGCACGGACAATGTAGAATCCAAAGCAACTTGATTTCTGTTTTCTTTTTTTAATAGGTAAAATATCGGGAGGAATATGATAAGTTTAAAGCACTTTATACTCTTCCGAGAGGAGTTCAGGATGATCCCAATACTGCAAGATGCCTAAGAGTTGGCAAACTGAATATTGATGTAAGATTTTTAAAATATACATTCACAAATAGGACGTCTGAATATTGCCTACAGACAATGTAAGGGCCAAGCTGAATACGGCCTTGGCATATGTGCTTTTCCAGTGACAAAGGAAGTTTGCAAATCTGCATATCTTTCATTAGCCTGGCATTTTGAGCAAAATAATGATTGGAAATGAAAGTCAATGTCCCCTGCTGCTTTTTTGCCTCAAACTTGCAGTCTGATGGTACCATGCTTCTGAATATTTGCATTTTTAAAAATACCTCATTAAAATATATATTTTAAAATACTTTAAAAATATAGTTTAAATCTAGCTGCTAGTTTCTTTTTGTTGGTATGATAGGTACTGTAGTTTTAAACTCTTAAATTTATATACTGAATTTAACATAATGTACACTGCCCAAAGAACCCTAAATTTGGCTTTTTTTAAGAATAAATATATGGTTTTATTAAATTTTATATTTTATTATTTTAATTATTATAAACTACTCAGAGGGCTTCAGCTATTGGGTGATATAGAAATGTGTATAAACCTTAAGTAGAAACTGAGTTTATTTTCTATACTACTCAAATATCCCTTATTTTTTTAATTCATGTTCATTTTCAAGTGTGATCATTTCAAAATCAAACACAAGCAAGCTACTGCATTTCATATTTTTTCTTATCCTTGAAAAAAATACTTTTTAAAAGGCCAAATTCTCTTCATCTCCAAGAAAGGAACTCAAATTCCCTAGTAAAAAAATCAAAACAATACCCCCCCCAAAAAAAAAAACCCAGCAGAAAGCATCTTCATATGTCTATTTGAGGCAGAGCACGATCAGTGCTGGTCTTGCACTAGCAGTAACAGAACACTAACAATAAAATCTACCCGCTGTCATCTGGAAAGCCATCATGTATCCAGGTCCTTTAGTCAAGCCTGGTGCTGCAGATGGCTTGTAACTCCAGGAACTAACATTATTCTAGCTATACTTCCATGTTTCTTCTGCCTTTTTAGGCTGGTGTTTTAACTCTTGTGATAATTTCCTTATTTTGGAAACCATCTTAGTACAATTAAGAATTTAGGAGTGTTCAAACAAATAAAAATATAAAACCTGCCTTAGAAAAGTAGTCATGGGTAATGCAAAGCAACCCATGTTGCTATTTTCTTTTCTTAGCGCTTATATAGAGAAACCTATGAAAAGAACAAGGCCAAGATCCATATTGTACCAGACATGGTGGAGATTGTGTCAGCCAAGAGCACTCAGAAGAAAGTCAGTGAAATTGATTATCGCATCCGCCTCCATGAGTGGGCCAGCATCGCAGACCCTCATGCCAATGCTCTTGCTCGAAAAGTCAATGACCAGCTTAGTGATGTAAGTCTGCCAACAGTTGCCTGCCTGCCTGCCTGCCTGCCTCTCAGAAAACCATTATAAGAAGAAGGGACATGGTTGGCGCAATGTATAATATCTACAAGCATGCCAATTGTTCATTTTGTTTCAAAAGGGTCTAGTGAAGATACCACTTAAAATTATAATTTGATGCTTGCGGATGATCTTCCAAGAAACTGATGGCTTCTAGAAATGGTTGGGAATCTTTTTAGAGATACAGCTTTAAAACAAGAAATTCCTTGGTCCTTTTCTCCTCAAGTTGCTGCCAGGTGGTGCCAGGATAGAAAGCATGAATTTCTTCATAGAGACCATGAATTGTCCTTTAACAGTACAGGAACCATCTCTGGGTTGTAGTCACAAGATCTTCCTTTACAGAAAAGTTTTATATAGGAAAAGTAAGCTGATTATTTACACCGATCCATGCCAATACCAGCTGATCTGTGGAATGTGGAGATGGCTTGGTGATTGATCTATAACTCTAAGGGCCCTCTCCTTGCTGGTTTAACAGGGAACCAGAACGTTTGGTGACTTGTTCTGAACAATTTGCCTTGTTCTTTGCTGATAAAGTCGCTTACATCTTCCTTGATCTGGACTTCAAAATGGAGCAATTCAAATTGATCAAATTTTGACTTGCTCTTGTGCAGTTGTTCCACATTCTTTTCAGCTTGCAGATTATCAGGAAGTAAAATGTTTGCCCTTTCTTGCTGATTAAATTGGCCAGGGTGAGACTGATGCCGTGGATAAGGAAGGCGATTAATACCTCCTTGCTGAAGAAGATAGCTTCCTCTTTCTTAAAAGTGGCAGTAATGAGACCTGTATTAAAGAAGCTGTCATTCAATCTAGTATATTTGTTGAACAGGCCAATCACAATTGTATCATTCATGGCCAGTATGATTGAGAAGGTGGTGGCATTGCAATTCTGAACAGATCTGAATAATATTGATTATCGTCACCCCTTTTCAACTGGAAAAACCAGAGGCAGAATCCAATAGGGCACTTACACCCCCACCTACTCACGTATGGTCTGCCAATTCTGCCTAGCCAATGGCCCCCACCACTTGCACAATGGTGATTTAGCACTGCTGGGGTAACCCAGAAGGAACAGAATGCTCATTTGGGGGGCAGGGGGCAAGACAGTTTGGTGGAGTTACTTAAGGGAGCGCCACAAACCTGCTTCCTTCCTGAAATAAGTATTCTGCTCCCTTGAGGACATCGCCTTGGAAGCTCTAGATCTTCATTGTGTTAGTGGAGAGAACTGTTTGCACAATAGAAACTGGTGAGATCCACCACTTACATAAGGGAACTGGCAGAGCTGTAGGGAAGTTGAAGGGGCATAAGTACCCCATCAGATTCTGCCCCAGAGCTGGAATCTAGGGTTTAATTGTTGGTCTATTCACAGTAACTCAGAGTTTAAAAGAACTCCCTGGATTTCTATGATGGGCTAAGACATCACCAAGGACATAGAAAAAGGAAGGGCTATGAACTTGTGGCAGGAAACAAGTGGACAGGCAAGGGAAAGAATCATGAGGACCCAGGCTTGCAAAGTCCTCTAGAGTCTATCAGTTATGATACCCTTTGTCACTAGTGATTGGACAACTATTGGACAACAATAAGTGTCCAGAGATAGTGTTGGTGGGTGGGTACAGTGGCTTTTATTGGCTACGGAACTCTGGTACTTACAGTTTATCTAGATGTCAAATGCTTACAGAAGAAAACCCTAAGTGACTATAACTTGTCCATATTTCAAAAAAAAACTTTTTTTTGCCTCTAGTGTCTAGTTTTTTTCAGAAAATATCTGGTAATTTGAGCTGCTGAAGAGTGGAGAAATGGATATTTAGATATTTAGATCAGCACTGTTGTTTTCCAACTAAGAAATGATGTATAATCATTTAATACATAATAGAAAGCAGCATAATCTAGGAAGTTAGTTTTGGATCATGGTCAAAGGATTTTTAGCTTTTATATTGTGAATATTGTCTGTTCCTTTCCTACAAAAGTCTAATTGTTCATCTTGCTGTTTTTTAATCTTAGATTGTGTACAAAGATGATCTCAACTGGCTCAAAGGCATAGGCTGCTTTGTTTGGGACACTCCAGCTATTCTGCATGCCAAACATGCCTATGACCTGCGTGATGATGTAAGTATGGCTGACAATGGCAGTTGACTGCTTGTTTTGAAGCTTAGTTCCTAGCTCCTATCAGAGCAATGCCAGTCAAAAAACATTTAAACTTCATGTGGCTTATCACTGTGTGATTACTGCATACATATATATTATTTTGCCCAGAAGTAGCTGTAGATAAATGCAGCTTCCCAGAAGACAGACTTACAGAAGAACTGCTGTGTGCCCAGTTATCATACTTGATCAAGTTTGTGGCTTTTTTTTCTGTGCAGAAATTCTGCCTATCTAGAAACTTAAGCACTTTCTTCTTCAACTTCCTCCTTTACAATCTTTACAATATGGTTGAACTGAAAACTTTCTGTCTTCATGTATGTTGCCTTGGACTCCCTGGAATAGGAATGTAACAAATAAAATACATGCAAATAATAAGAGGAGATACAGCCAGGCCGTTACCAGCTTGGTACAGCTAGTATATTTGTGTGGGAGGTGATTACTTTCAGAACTGCTTGACAAATACAGCAATGGGAATTAGAAAGAAAAGTTACTTACATCCTTTCCCCTTTCCGAAGTTCAAATACAAGGAAAAGGCAGAGAAAATGAAGAGCAAATACTCTGTGGTCTTGGACACACCTGTCTATGTTCAGAACGTCCAGAGTGGCAAGAATCTGAGTGAAGTGAGTAACTGCATTTCAGCTTCTCCAACATGACTGCAATAGTTCTGCTGCTTTATCTCTAACATTTTGCTAGTACCCACAATAATATATATCACGTCTACCTTCATCCAGTTATAAGAGTTCTTAGACTGCTCAGAGCTGCAAGCAGCATTTATAACCAGTTTATCCCACACAGGACTTTTTAAATTTCCTGATCCAGTCTCATTTGGAACAAATCTTTTGAATGATTTAGTTTCATTCTGTACCTATACCTGAGATACCAAATAACTTAGCATTTTTCTTAAATCCCACACAGGCTTAGATTGGTACCAGTAGATAATTTGCTCTCAATGCAAGTCTCTTTAGAAGAGGGATTTTCCTGAGAACTGCAGCAGGGGAAGAAGGGTTAAATCAATTCTCCATGCCTACTTTGATACCAGTAATTATTAACCCCACTCACCCACGTACAGCTGGTGCTATTTGCATTCAAGAAAATTTGAACATGACATGCAAGTACACATTTACAGGCATGTGTAGTTTGGCCCTAAGGGCAGTCTGGCTCTGGAATCCTGTGTATGCTCTTGGCCCCAGGTGAGACGTTCATGTGATTTCTGGTTATGTATACAGAACCATGCAGGGATTGGGATTCCCTGCTTTCCTATGCAAATGGTTGGGACACCTTGCTTGTGGCACTCACTTGGACAAAAAGTGTTGCTTGCACAGACGCGGGATCAACAGTTGCATAACCTCCTCAACTTGTGATATTGGCCACCACTTTCAGTAGTTATTAGACCAGTTGAGATACCTAAACTGTTTTACAAGTTGGAGCATCCCTCCCACTGCCCTTCTATCACATGTCTTTCAATCCCCTATTTCCCATGAAAAAAATAGCATATCAGGTTCTTGCAGTTGGAAGTAAACAAGTTGGATGTTGCCACCCCAGCATTACTATTTCTCTTTCAGAAGCTGCCTTGCCTTTTCTGTTTGAGGCATAATGAATGTCCAAGCTGTGTTTAGGGCACAAGAAGATAACAAAGGTTTTGCTATTACTCAGTTTCAACTTACATTGTTTTCTAAATTTCCTAGTTTGTTTACCGCCATAACTATGTGCAGAATATCAAAGGGAAATATACTGCAACTGACAAGACAGTGGATTTGGAACGAGCAACTCATGCCTACAAAATACAGCATGAAGTAAGTGACAGGGCTATGCTTCTGATCAGGGACGGAAAGCGGCTGCTCAGGCTTGCTTTGAACTTCACTTCAGTTTAACTGGGTCCCATTCTCATTAGCAATTTGTGTTTGTTTTGATGTTGTTTTTTGTTCAGACGGGAAGACTGTGACTTTTGAATGGGGAGAGCCAGTGTGGTGTAGTGGTTAAGAGCGTGGGACTGGGACTCAGACGATCTGGGTTCTAGTCCCCGCTCAGCCATGGAGCCAACTGGGTGACTTTGGGCCAGTCACAGACTCTCAGCCCAACCTGCCTCACAGGGTTGTTGTTGTGGGGATAAGATGGAGGAGGTGAATGATGTAAGCTGCCTTGAGCCTTTTGTAGGAAAAAGGTAGGATATAAATAAAAAAATAAATAAAATAAATAACGTATGCATTTTTCAAAACTGCATACTTTTCCCCCACTTTCCTGCACAAGAAAAATGGGGAATTTTGTAGTGTGCGGTGGGATTGGTGCAATGCCCTTGTAAAAGAACATCCGTAGACATGTAGGAATAGGAGAAGTCCTGCAAGATGTTAGCTTCCATCAGCATTCCTTGCCCACTGAGCATGCTGAATGGGCTATTCGGTGGGGTGTGTTTTTTGTTACCTCTGTTTTTTTTCCTCATGAAAGTTCCTTGTTTTTTGTACTTCTGCAAACCCCGCACATGTTGATATCTCCTCCCTGTGTCTGGGTGGTGCTATTTGAGCAAATGAAATGGATAGTTGTTTTTGGTGCATGTTCCAAGGTCAGGCGGATTGGGGCTTATCAGATGAGGAGCAGGAGGGCCCCTGGGAGCATGTGGCCCCAGACATTGAAATGGGGGAAGTAGAAGGGCTTTCCTCAAGTCTGTTCCCTGCAGATGTTCAGATGGACTCAGAATTGCCAGGATATACAACTGACAGAGGAGGTTGTAGGACAGGAGCTGCAAAGCCAGCCAAGCCTAGTATGACTCATGATCCCATGACTTGGCATCGGAGAGAAGGACTGCCTCCAAAGGGCTATCCCCAAGGGAGGGGGCCCAGAGGTACTCAAAAGGAGAGCTATTGGAAATAGTTACTAGATTGGGTTCAACAAACTGCTCTGTGCATGCTCAGAGACCCATACTGTGGTGATTGTGCTTACTGGATATACTTTGGAGAATAACTAGCTTTTGCAAAGGAATGGTCTGTTTCCTTGAATGTGTGAAGGAGAAAGCCTAGCTCCCCACAAGGACCAACACATAGAGAATTGAGATTGTGGTTTGTATGCATAATGACCAAACTCTGCTCATGGATATTTAATACACATACTTGCGTTGTCAGGCTGTAAGCCTGAACCTGCTTAATAGGGCATTAAGAAGGAGGAACTTTCTTCCAAGTAAAGAGAGAGGGGGACCCTCTGCAAGTTATTTCTGGGTTCCAGGAAATAATGCCTCCTCTGAAGTGTCACTCATTTAACTTGTCACGCAAGTTACAAGTTAACATCCTGACCTGCTGTGCTAGGGATGTCAATGTAGTTCCTGTGCCCAATGACTGTGAGCTCCTCCAGCTCTCTCTGGGACGTGTTCCTTAGAAGAGCATGCACAAGCCCACAGGCAAACATGGCAGCTGAGACTGTGGCCCTGAGGTCTGTTAAGCACACCCAGGAGTGCTGCCTCTTTACCTGAAGTCAGAGTTGAAGACCATGTCCCTGGCCACAGGTTCTTCTGAGACTTTTTTCACCCAAACCATGTTCCCCTGGGAATGCTGTACAGATTCCTGGTGTGCCCTGATATATCAATTGTAGAGAGACATGCTAAAACAATCAAACCTTTTTATTTAGCCATCATTTTAACAACTAAGGATTTTAGATGTTTTTAATATTATAGTCACATTTTCTTTTTGTTTTGCTGCATTACAAATGCTATTTATTTCTTGTCTTGTTATTTATTGTTTTAATTATTGTAATTGTTACTGCTGTTTGTAATTTTATTACTGTTGCTGTTTTAATTGTTGTAAGCTGTCCTGAGATGTTTTATTGGGAATGATGGGATAAAAAAATGTCTTAAATAAAAATAAATAAAATTTGTAGAATCCATGTTTAAGCTTTGTCAGAAACTTTAACCCCTTTATGTGTTTTTGGCAGGGCCTCTACCGAAATGCTGGCCTGCGGGCACTTCCCACTGGATACAAGCTTCCACCAGATACTCCTGGTTTCAAGCATGCTAAGCATGCCCATTACCTTGGCAGTTATGTGAGTCATGGGCTGGATTATTGTTATCTTTTACATTACTGTTCTAAAAAGAAAGAAATGTATCTTCACACATTTCTATACAATGGATTTTAGATATAATTTATGTTGGAAGAGTTGTGTGGGGTCAGGGGCAGGATGATTCCGCCCCGGGTATCCTAAAGGTATCATTTGTGCATGTGTGAGAGAGAGAGATACAAGTGTGTGTGTGTGTCATAAATGTATATCTGAAAATTATGTATTCATTTATTTTTCAGCTTAAATATAAGGAAGTCTATGAACATCTAAAAGGTAAAGGTTACAATTTTGGACCCAAAGCTGTTCCATTTGTGACTGTCCGGAAAGTCAATAAAGTTCTCAATGAGGTAATGCAAATACTATTTATGAAAATGTTCATATGTATGATAATTGATTACACTTATCTAAGGTTACTGTTGGAATCTAATGTGACTCATTATAAAATAATGGTATATTTTTGTAGGACACTCATAACACCATCCATGTCCTATAACAGCTCCTGAAGAATAGAGTTTATAATTTTAAAATCAGAATTTTAAAGCAGTGACACTTGCATACTACTTTAATTATACATTTTTGTTATTGGGTTTTATGGAATTTGTGCATAAAATTGTGCATGCCCAAAATCTCACTGCTAGGAAAGATAATTATTTTCCCCTACCCTTGATGGCTAAAAGCATACAAAATAGGACTAAATAATTGCTTTTTTGTTACAATCTCAGTGATAAGGCAGCACTCTGCTCCAGGCAAAAGAGTTTCATAAAAGTATGCACAAACTTCTTCTTTCTTGGTCTTTTAAACAATTACTTAGTGTCCATAGATTGATTTATCCACTGAAGCAAATGAGGGGGCTTTAACCATACAGTATGCACAGATTCTCAATTTGGGTAGCTTTGCTTTCCTGGCTTACATGTGCCTGAAACACTTTTTCTTTTGCTACAGAGATTATACCGGGAGGCATATCACAAAAATAAGGACAAGATACATACCACACCTGATACACCAGAGATCCGCCAAGTGAAAACAAACCAAGAATCCATCAGTGATGTATGCCTCTTTTATTCACTAGCAAACAGACTATAATATTTGATGTGATTATCGCTCCTTCCTCTGATTCCTTTTCTCTGCTTGTATCTTAGCTGATTTACAAGACTGACTTCTTCAGGATGCAGGGACACTTGATATCCTTGCCGTTCACTCCTCAGACAATGCACAGCCAGTATGTTGGAGAGATTACAAGTGATGTAAGCAGCTGTTTTAAAATGATTCCCTGTGTTTAGTACGAGTGACTGAATGTTGACTTATTTATGCACATGTATACGTCAGAATTTAGAATGGAATTTCTAGTTTACATTTCTAGTTAATATTTTTTCAAAGAAGTGTTTATACCCTTAAAGCTCATGAAGAAAGGCATCAAAACATGTAACCAGTTTCTTCTAAAAGTGCTCAGAATTCATAATGGATTCTGGATGTTTTTTCTAGGAATGTGAAACAAGGGGAAAGAAGCTTTTAAAAAACTCCTCTGTACTATATTCATGTTCCTAGTTACCTTCCTACCTGTACATATCAATACTTGACTAGCCCTGCTTAAATTATCTCCTAACTTCATTATTCTTGATTTGACAAATTTTGTCAAGAAAAAAAATGCTACAACAAAAACAGCAGATATTTCTTTTCATGATCTGTTGAAATCATCTGAATTTTTATACACATCCACACACACGCACAATAATGAGTTCATAATAGAGCTATGTTCTGCCGTGTGTTTTACAGATACCTTCTGATCCTGAATATTGCCGGGAAAGAGGACTGTGCTGTCTCCATAGGCAGCTTATTCCTCCCTGGCATTTGTTACAGTCAAGAAAAACATAGTAAAGTCTAACATAAATTAATCTCTGTGTAATTTTAAAATAACTCTGTGAAAGCCAGCCCTACCAATGGCTGAATTCTGGTGCAGGAGCAGACACAATGCAATTCACCCCTCTCCAGGATCCTAGTACTCAGCTTCTATGCCTTGAAAGCTGCATTTGTTGGAGAGAATGGAACTTGCTCAAACTATCTCATCTTGCTATTGTTAATATTGCTAAATCTTTGTAATTTTCTCTAGGCTTCATTTCCTTCAAATTGGCTATCTAGAATCTATATTGCATTGAGGTTATCAGCTTTTTTCATTTACTGCAGAATTTGAAAGCATATTCTTGTTGATTTAACTAATAGATTTAATGCAGTACAGGTATATTAACAACCTATTACTGTTTGGCAGATTAAATATAAAAGCGATCTACAATGGCTGAGAGGTCTGGGCTGCTTCTTATATGATACTCCTGATATGGTCCGTGCTCGGCATTTACGCAAGCTCTGGGTATGTCCCCTTTCCATAGCCATATAGTTTGGGTGATTTTTCATTATATGCATGCAGATATCAAGATGTGAACCAACCTGATTTTCAGCACTTACTTATTTTTATGTATTGCTTTGATTTTATTTATACTCCAGGCTTCAATGGATTTCCAGAATAGCATATAAAAAGTTAAAATTACAATCAAAGAAAGTAAAAGAAAAACATTAAAACAGGAAGATCTTTGCAGCATGCTGAGCAACAAATCAGACTTGATTGTTTAAGTCTAAAACATTTTACAGTATATTACAGTAAATATTTGCACTTTTCTTTCTTGTATTTGGACCATTTCAACATGTCTTTTTAGATATAGTCAGCTGCAAATAGATAAACAGAAATATATAAATAAATGGATATGTTCAGACATAAAAGCCTTGCAATGCTGACATAATGTTATAATTTTGTGCCTTCTCACCCGCAACTTTAGAATCTGCAAGCCTTTGGAATTGAGAGGTATTTTGAAAAGCTCATTGCGGGTGGGAAGAACCACGGCTCACTGGCAGAGCACATGCTTTGCATGCAGAAGGTTCGATCTTCAGGGTCACCATGCAGGGCTGGAAAAATTCCTGTCTGAAACCCTGGAGAGCTACTGCCAGTCAGTGCTGACAGTTCTGGGCAAGATGCTCTAAAGGACTATCTCAGTATAAGGCAGCTTCCTATGTTTCTTTGTTGCTGTTATTGCTGAGTAAATGTTTTTAGTATCTATAATGTCTGTGACACTCACTGTTCAGGGAGTAAACAAGAATACAGTTCTTGTTTCTTAATCTCAGCTCTGAGCGATAGGTTAAAATCGGAGGTAATAGGGCCACACTGTGAACTGCCTGGATAGAGAAGCAACTGCCTGGATAAAGATTAAGGATTGTGGTGCAAAATGAGTCTCAGTGTTGTGTTTGCCCAAATTATATTTCTGAATCTACCCCAGCTGTGCTATTAAATTATAAAGTCTTAAAGACTGATGTGTTAAATTATATTATAAAGACTGATGTGATGTCAAATTTAGGGACTACATTAGCTTTCTTTATTGATTTTCAATGTACAGTCATATAGTTGGAACTTAAAAAGACTAGCACCTTTTTTGACACAAGTCCTTTCTTTTTCAGTCCCATTACGTCTACACTGAAGCTGCAAAGAAGACACAAGATAAATATCGTGTGGTCCTGGACACTCCTGTGTACAGGAACATCCAGGAGCTAAAAACCCACTTGAGTGAAGTGAGTTTAGTGCTTTTAATGTCTGCTAAGAAAAATTAAATTAAGTTGAAGAGGAATTGAAAGTGAGTTCAGGTTGTTTGAGCATACTTTTACAGTTAACTGCTGCAGTTTAGCTGGACTGGACTGAGGGCTGAGGAAGGGGGATACTTGGTAATAGCTTGGGAAGGGGTTGCTGTTTGTAAATCATTCGTTGCTAAAGTTCTCACTGAGCAAAATCTTTTGTCTGGATTGATTTCATAAGCACATCGATACAGCCAACTGTGCTGAGACTGGCATCTTAGTGACCAGTTTGCACTTGTTCTCACAGTATTGAGTGAACTCACTGGCTCTTTGGAGAAATCAGGTACCAATGGGCATGGCTTCTAATCAGATTATTGTACTAGCTATCAGTGAAGTGTAACAGTTGAACTGTTACTTTTTGGATAACAGTTAGATAAAATCCTGTTGATATTTACTCTCAAACAGCCACCTCTGTCTTCATTCTGCTTACTGCCAATTTATTAGCTATTTTGAATTTCCCTCTTCTAATGCATCCATTACACTTTTTCTTCAATGTGTCATGGAAGACATAGGTTCATTGGTTGTGTTTCTTTCCAGCTTGTATACAGAGCTGCAGGCCGAGAACAAAAGACTAAGTATACATCTGTCCTTGACACACCAGATTATAATAGGGCCAAAAAAGGGCAAAAGATACAGAGTCAGGTAAGAACTATTGTTAACAGAAGTGAAATTGAACTGCATGTATGAAATTCTAATTGAATAATGCACAATTTTTCTAAACTATTCTTAGGAAAATTAGTTCTGTAGGGTCAAATTTGATATTAAAATATGTGTTTCTCTGTACATGCAAAGTGCAATTTATGGTTGCACCAGCAGCATGTATTAAGCAAATGTATCTAATCAGCTATATTAGGACAAATAAGAAACTAATGCATGCATAAGTCTCTGCTGCAGTTTTACTCTGTCCAACACATAGGCCTGATGTGTTTTCCCATCTTTTTTAAGTGGTGCTGAAGTAATAGTGCTTTTTAACAGGGATAAACTTGCCAAGTGATGTGACTTGCCTGCATGTAACCTTCTTTGTTGTCAGGTTGCAATGCTTGAGATTGTGTCATGTGATTGTGCCACCAACATCCAAAGTTGGATCTGCTGTGAAGCACATCAAAAAGGATATATTAAGAGCTCTTCATCTCACCATTGATATGTGCTTTGTAATTGCGCAAATTACAGTCCCAAATGATTTCCTGTGCTTTGTTATTGCCTAGATTATTTCCTGTGCTTTGTATCTGTGCAGTGAGACTAATGGATTCTTCAGGTTCCCTTCCACCTCCAGGAATTTTCTTTGTTTTCATTCCAGCCCCCAGTCTTTGCATCTAGTCTTTGTATACTCAAATATATCTTTCAGTGCTGAGAAGCCAGGTCTTGTTCTTTTAATAATAGCTTGGACCCAATTCATAAGCCGCTTATGTTCCACCACACTTTCTTGGATTAACTGAAAACATTATCCTAACAAAATTCTAGAAAGCCAGTATGGCGCAGTGGTTAGAGTGTTGGACTGGAACTTGGGAAATCCAGGTTCTAGTCCCAGTTCAGACATGAAATTTACCAGGTGACTTTGGGTCAGTCACCAACTCTTAGCCTGACTATTTCCCAACATTGCTTTTTGTATAAAAGGAGAGGAGGAGAACCTAGTAACCCACCTTGACTTGCAAGAAGAGAAAGGGTGGGATGCAAATGCCGTAAAAGGATCAAGATCAGTAGGTGCACCGAGTTAGGGCATCAAATTTGACCTGATCAGGGATTGACAACACATGTTCTGTGGGCTGCATGCAGCACCCACTATCCCCCAGGTGACTCCCACTGTTTCCTGCATGTGTTGATCCCAAAAATGGATTCAAACACAGGAAGTTGTTGATATACCACTGAAATTCTGCAACAAACTACTAAAGAGCCATATTAAAGACAAGTTCATCTTGTTTTAGAGTCATTTTTTTATCACTGCAGCCATGGTGAGTTGCCCAGCCCAACCTAGACAGTTATTTGAAAACCTTTCATATGCAAATTATGGCTTAAAATTGGACTGGCTCTGGCTGGCAGATTTAAGCTAAAATGGGTAGGAACTGTCTGACACTGTAGCTCTTGTTACATATTATGTCTTGTTAAATTATCTATGACTAGACCTATATGCTATCAGTATCCCCACAACTAAATCAATATCCCCACAACTAAATCTGGACTCTATGTGTGTTTATCTCAGTAATACATTCATTACATGTTCAACCTCTGGTGGCACTGACTGAAGAATCAGTTAGCAATTTCCCAGTTAGATTGGGAAAAATGGGCTTGAGATTTCAAGAAAGCATTGTCAGTCAGAGTAGATACTTGACAAGATATGAACCACTTGTCTGGCTCAGTACACAAAAATTATTGGGTGAAGCTTTTGCATACATGAAACCTGTCTGACATTGTGTGGCTTCTCCTTTTCTGCAGTACTTGTACATTGAACTTGCCACCAAGGAAAGACCCCATCACCATGCTGGGGATGGGACGCCTGCCTTGAAACTTGCCAAGCATGTGAAGGACTTCTCCAGTGAGGTAAAACAGACCATCCTTCTGGCTATTCAGTGCTGTTTAGAAGGCTATATGCACCTTTCCAACTCCTGAAGAAAGAGAAGACTTTGAACCTTTTTGCTGCTCATGCTGCTCATGTGGGACAGAAAATGGGGAAAGTTGCCTTTTACAAGTGCTAGCTACTGTAGGCATGACTCTGCCTTAAGAACCCAGAATTTTTATGGTTATGGAATTAGCAACCGTGTGTTCCCTTCACAGTTGTACTACCATATTTTATTTATTTATTTAAAACTTTTCTATCCCGTCACCACATGCCTCGGCATCTCAGGATGTATATTTCTTCACATACATGATGTTCATGATGTACAATATGAGCACCATAACATTAACTGCATTGTTTTCCTCCCTTCTCCCTACTTTGTTTAGAAAAAATACAAAGCCCTGTATGATAAACTGAAGCACAAGTATGTAACTGTCCCGGACACACCAATCCTCATCAGGGCTAAGAAGGCCTACCTGAATGCCAGTGATGTAAGTAACTGATAAAATGAGGGGTAGTTCATGTGTTCTAGTTCTGACTGGAGAGCATAATAAGTCAAGTGATCAAGGAGCTAGAACTCCATGCAGACTGGCGGAGGGGGGGTGTAATTTAGAAAATTGAGTATCAGGGAACAGGACTGAGATGTTAAAAAGTATGCATGGCACATCAAGCTAGAACTGAGTGGTCAACCCTGGAAGCTGAATGGTAGGACATCCAGGACAGGTAAAAGGAAGTACTCCTTTATACCTGTATAACCTGTAACATACCTGTAACAAAGATGTAATGATGGTTATCAAGCTGGATCACTTTAAAAGGGGATTAGATCAATTAATGGAGGATAAAGTTCTCTATATATCTGCAGAATATACTCATGATGCCTGGATTTTACCACCAGTATTGTAGGCCATGTGAGTCTCAAGCTCTCCTGCCTGTGGGCTTCCCGCCGGCTGGCCACTGTGGGGACAGAATGATGGACTAGAACAGCCTTTGATGTGTTCAGCACAGCTCTTATTTTCGCGTGAAGGCTGTGATTATTCTAAGTGAGCTGGACTTAGTGTTACGAAACCAGTGGTAAATCTTCCAGATAACATTATTTATTTAGATTGGAGGGAAACTTGTGGTCCTCTGGATAATGTCAGACTACAAATTCTATCATCTCTAATCATCAGTCCTGCTGAGTGAGGAGTTGGAATCACAAACTTGTAGGAAATGGCAGGTTCCCATCCTTGATTTAAATTATTCTGTACTGTATCCCTGTAACTCTGCTGGATTATTCTAATATCTTTACATTTTTTAAAATATTAAAACAACTTAAGAATGCTATTATATTTTGTTTTGCATATACAGATATAAAATAAATAATAAACTGTAAAAGAAAGGACCAGTATCCTTACAGAGTAGATCTTTGACAGCCAGTCATATTTGCTTTTGCAATGAAAGTAGATGTTCCTGGAGAAAGGAGAGCAAATGGATGAGTCTGAGACAGAGCTGCTAGTCTCTGAAAGTCATGCCCTTCCATGCAAACCGAGTGGGAGACAAATTTTTCTTGACTTGAAATTTGTATGAATTGAATTTCCATATCCAATGCAGCCTTCCATATTGGATTATCCAAAGAAGGATATCCAAAATATGCATGTCCACATTTATATTCATGGGCACTGCTTGCTAGTAGGGCTATGCGGCAGCAGAGAGTGAGTACCGAAAATGATAGAAATTGAATAAGGGTTACTATTAGGCTGTGCCTTTGCTGTAGAGTCTGTCCTGTTGAAATAGAATGGAGCTTAACTGTAATTATGATGATGAGGTATCCATAATTCAACATTATAGAAATCAATGTTCTATTTAGATGCAAGGACATATGCCTTTATAAGGAGGATCATGTTATCTGTGGGGATTTCTCTGCTGTCAGTCTATAAATAAATAAGCTAGTTAATTTTGTGATCATGCTGAGATTTCTTTCCATCATCCCTATATCAAAAAAGCTGAGCAAAATGGTTGAAATAGTGAGCAGAATCCAGTGCCCTGGGAAGTGTTGTTTTTGTATTGAGAGCTGCACAGAAATCCCAAATATAGGCTATTGTAGTGGTATATAAATTCATTAAATAAAAATAAATGGATGTCCACACACATGAAAGGGCTTTGTTCTCTCCTTCTCACCTTGTGTTTTCCCAAATCTCCTCCAGAAAGTTATCCAACTCTCCAGAACATATTTTGGGGGTGAGGGGAGGGGTGTGGGGGAGACAAGAATTTTTCCTTTCCTGGTTGACTCATGCAAGCTGTTCTCTCAACAAAGGAATTGAATTCCTGACCATGTTTCATCAATGAAATAGTTGCAAATGCAAGTTTGGGCTAAATAATATTTTGTTAACAGTATATATAGCACATTCTGAAAATAATGCCATTCTACTTATTCTTTTTTTGACCAGCTGCGCTACAAGGAAACCTTTGAGCGCACAAAGGGTAAATACCACACTGTGAAAGATGCTTTGGATATTGTGTATCATCGCAAGGTCACTGATGATATCAGCAAAGTATGTATATGGTTTTTTGAATATGTTCTGCTTCATAACTATGCAATATGAAAGATGTATGTTATTATGCACAATGAGTGCTCCTTCTTTACATTTAACCACTTAGAACTGTTTACCTACCCTTTCCTAAAGATGAGTGAACATGGAATATTCAAGGTCATCAAGATTCTTTCAGGGTCTGAAACATTAATGTCTTTTTTACTATTAGGAAAAGTCTTGCTTTAATCACAGACCCAGAATGTTCATTATTTACTTATTCAAGTAAAGTGTGAAATGTGATTTTTTTTTTCAAAAAAGTGCACAAGATTGGAAATCTGCAATCATTTTCTCTTTATATCTGTTTCTACTTGCCTTTGGTATTGTTTGAAAATTTTCGCAAACAGAAACAAAATACTGATACATCCTTGATTGGAGAGCCAGTGTAGCTTAGTGATTAGAATGCTGGACTCAGCCAGTACTCTAACTGAAGCTGACTGGGAGATGTTGGGTCATGGACTCTCAGTATATGAGAGAGTCCTCACAGGGTTGTTGTTGTTGTGAGGATAAAGTAGAGAGGAGGAAAATTTGCAAGATCCTTGGATTCCTTCAAAGGGAAAGAAAGCTGGGATATACATACCACACCCATACCATATCATTCCATTCCATGCCAATCTTTTCTTTATGTACACCTATGCTGCCCAGAGCCATAGTTCTGGTGGATCTGATTGTTCTGGCCTTGACACACATTGGGCTGTGTCCATCCAGGCAAATAAACTCTCAAGCAGTCTACTTCCATGCAACTCAAAATTTCATCTTTATTGAATCTCAGGATAAACAAGTAATAAATACAGAATCAACACTTAATACCTGAGGTTGGTGAATAGATGAGTTGGATGGATAAAATGAGATTAAATGAAGTCAATTGATGAGGTAAAAAAAAAAACAAAAACATGCAAGGCTAGGCCTTTAGTATGAAATCTAGAACAGCATCAAAAAACCTGAGGGAGGTTTCTTCCAAACTGAGGAAGAACTGGTACAAATTGAATGAAAATCCTTCCTAGGCACAACTTCTGACATATGGCATCAAGACCTGACCAGTTACTAACAAAGAGAATAAGCTAGTGCAATTACAAATGCAAGCCCCAGGGGCAACATAATGGACTAACGTAATGTCCAATGGGGGACCAGTGATTCCCCACCCTGAAAGAAAACAAAGATAACTTCAAATCGGGTGAGGCTATAGCACCCTAAGTACCTACTTGGCATCTGCTGTTCACACCAGGGCTCAGCGAATTCTTGGTTTCTCTTTAGACTTGCACCTAAACCATTACCATTTCTCTTTTGTGGCCTTTCGTCCTCACACACATCCTTCCCTCAGCATGGGCTTTTGCCATGCTGGCACCTCCACAGTTTTTCCCCTGTGACTCATGGCCTGCCCAGTTTCACCCACCCACCTGCACTTTTCCTGCATTACAAGCCCTGTGCTTGACATGAGGTGGTACAGCTGCACTAGAATGTTCTCATAAAAGTGATGTACCGGCTGCAATGCTACATTCATATACTCCAGAGCAAGCTTCATTGCATTTACTTCTAAGTTAATACCAGATATGCAAAATGATGTAAGAATGTGTCTTGTATTTGCCATTAATTTCCTAGATTTTGATAACTTTTTAATTTGTTTTTGTAGGTGAAATATAAAGAAAAGTACATGAGCCAGTTAGGATTCTGGAGATCTATTCCAGACCGGCCAGAGTACTTCCATCATCGTGCAATCACTGATCAAGTCAGTGATGTAAGTACAGATTGATCTTGAACCTGGGATGCAGTATGCTGGCAAAGCTTCCAAAACAATGGCCTGCACCGAGTTTCCTGAGGAAACTTGGGGTACTTCACTTCCAAAGTAACTGTGTAATGTACTGATGATTTTAGGGGTCCCAGTGGGAGTTCAACTGCATCTGCTTAGTAATCCAAGAGATGTAGGCAATATTGTGAGGGGCAGCTATGAGCAATTAATAATTTTGTTTATTTAATGGCACTCATTTTTAGTGCAGATTAGGCAATGTGGTGTCTGCAAACACCAGCGTGCCCTTTGATGCCTCCTTGGTGCCTGCTGAGGAACCTTAGCACTCTCAGTTTTTATTTTTATGAAGTAATAAAGTTTCTTGGCAGCTGGTCTCACTTCAAAGCAAAATACGATGCTTCTTATTTTGCCTGCTTCCATCTTCTTTTCCTATGAATGCCTCTGGGCCACATGTGAGGCTTAGAAGCATTCTTAGGAAATGAAGACGACATATTCTGCTTTCATCAGCAGTGCACCCATTTTGTGATGGTGCCCAGGACAGTTTCTCAGATTGCCAGATGTTCTCACAAGCCCCCCAAAGTTGTCTGCCCCTGGCTTAGTGGAATCTGTATGGCATTTTCCTCTAGCAGATGGCACTCTCCTTTGTGCAGAGGAAGAACCTAAGTTCTGCTGACCAGCTAAAGGCCATGTCATTCCAGAGGGTTCCCAGCCCTCACAAGCAGCCTTTAACAGCTTATGTGCAAGTCACTGCAGCAGAAATAAGCAAGCGTACAGACCCCATTTTCTTTATGGCTTCCTTGATTTTCCAAATGACTTTTTGTCTGTATGCTGTTCTTTCAGCTTATATAGCCAAGGCTTTCTAGAAGACAAATATATTTTTAAAAAACTGATCCAACTTCTGTTTTCATACACTGATATACCTGAGATCAGTTATTTACTTTCCCCACTCCTGCATTTGATCAATAAGTTAGATATACTAGGGTACTCATTACTCTAGTGCTGCTGGTATTGGTATGAGTGCCCAAATTTAGAATTCAGATGTTAGAAACAGCACACGTTAGCAATTTCATCTCATTTCACTAAGACTGCAGTCACTGAACTTAAGAGGACTGTATGAAATGGAGGAGTCCATTTGGCAAACCAGCCTCAAGTGCATGTATCCGGAATGTTATTATTTATTCATTCCTCGGTGTAAGTGTGCACACATGCATAGAGTATGCACACACATGCATAGACCCTCTTGCCATAAATTGTCTTGTGTCATAAACCTTGCGCTCATTATTTTGCTTTTGCAGGTTAAATATAAGGAAGACCGGGAAGCACTCAAAGGCATTGGCTGCTACGCATGGGATACTCCTGATCTTGTTCTTGCAGAAAAGAATAAGACGTTGTACAGTGCGGTATGTGTGTTATTTGTTCCTATCAGTTAAGTAGGGTGCTTTGTACGCAGATAGACAGAGGTTTGAGACAATGTTTAGAATCCATTATAATCATAAAATTGGAACTATCCACAGCAATTAGAACATACAGAATTTGGTTGACATTTCAACCAACTTCAAAAACAAAAGATCAGCAGTATGGAAACATGCAGAGTGCAAAGGGTCCCATTGAAATGCATGAGAGAAGCGCAAGAGTACACTTTTCTTGCAGCAAAGTTTGCACAAAAGAAATGGCCAGTACATTGTCTTCCTACTTCATCAATAAGAAAAGTCTAGTGAGCTGTCTGTTTTTTGAGCTGGTATTTACACAGGTTATTATCCTTCTGTAAATAAGGGATAATGTCAGTTATCTTATGTTTAAATCTAATGCACTATTAGATTCATGCATTTTTCTGAAACAACATCTTTTATGCTTTAATTCTATGTTCATATACTTGGAAGGGTTAGGGTTCATGTACTTGGGAGCAATTTCCACTGAATACTCTAGGACTTGCATATGTAAGACTGCATATTTATTTATTTAGACAACTTATATGCCGCCCCCTTCACATAAGCCTCGGGGCGGCTTCCAATCATAAATAAATACCAACACATGATTGCACTGTTGGCACTTTATCAGCTTGAAGGGCTTTAATTAGGATTTAAAACATGGTTTCATACTGGAATTGTACCATGTCATGCAGGCTGATGCTGTTGGATGCAGAACATTGCAACAGCAATAAAGCAGTAAATCTCACATTTACTGGCAGCTTACTTGTAAATGTATTTACACTGAAATAATTACAGTGTTTCTATCACATTTTTACGTCTGATTAAAGTTTTAATATATGCTTTTGGTGTTTCTGTCATACCTTTATGATTTAGATTTGTAAAGACTTATATGCATTTCCCCTTTAGTGTAAGTACAAGGAATCATTTGAAAAAGTAAAGGACAAGTTCCAGTATGTTGCTGACTCTCCAATTAACAGACATTTTAAACATGCTACTCAGCTGGTGAACCAGGTAAGTAGAACCTGCTTTTGTAGCACAGGGATCACACAATTAAAGTTTCTTCAGTAGAATTTAGCAGCGAAACTAGTGTCCTAAGCATATTGAGATGCAATTAAATTCAAGTTCATGGCATTTAGTAAAGCAGAAATCCAGAGAATTACTCTGAAGCTGTCGAAGATGATCCATGTGCCCTGACTTTTTTTCTTGGAACTGCTGGTGTTGATGTCATGCTTCTCAACCAATTTGCTGTGCGGCATGATACCAGGAGAGGTGGGGCGAATGCATGTTGAGGAAAACTAGTGTGAAAATTCCAGACTCACAGCTAGGCAACCTGGTATCCCTCAGATGCATTGGACTACAACTCCCATAAATCCTTGACAATAGTCTTGTTGCCTCGGACTTATGGGAATTATCATCTAAAAGAGCCCCTGGAGGCTCTCCAGGTTGTCTCTCTTTGCTCTAGTGTTAACCTGGATATATCATGAAAAGAATTCCGACATGGCCCTCAGCTGTGACAGTGCATTCCCCATTTAATTATACAAGATAAGTAAATTTAGCAGTGCAGCATCAACAAGAAGCACAGAAATATATGTTAAAAATTAACAGATTTCTATGGAAATGTAATGTGAAAAAAGTTTGCATAAAACAATGGGTGGCTGAAGAATTAGTAAAAGAACAGTTCTGAAGGGGCAGAATATATTTCACTGCATTTTCCTATAGTGCTACAATTGTAATGTATTGGACTTCTTTCTGACACATATTTGTGCTTCAAGGGCTGCAGTATTTCCCTTTTGCAGTTTTCTTCATACATAAATGAAGGTATACTTTCATTGTATTTGTGGCTAGGAATTAAGCATATTGGACTCAATGCAGAATAGATATCAACCCCCTTAAGCCAGCTGAAGTTGGTTAAGTATGCCTAACCCTGTACAAGAGTGTGGCAATTATATATATTGTTATTTGAAAATGATAGATGATTCAAGGTTCTAGCTTATTCATTTGGCTTTCTTTATGCTGTGTACAAGTTTTTAAACTAGAAGTGTATACTAACACATCTCATACATGCAAAATCTATACTGCTTGTCTCATAAACGTAGATACAGTTAGAAGTGTAACTGGAAAGTAGATAGATAGGACTACAAGTCTGACATCTTGTACTGTCTTACCTTTAAAGCTGCACTCCTATGCATCTGTATCTGGGAGTAAGCTCCATTAAACTCAATTGGGATTACTTCTGAGAAGACCTGCATAGGATTGCTCTGTAAAAAGTATATATTAATATTTTTTAAAAATGATTATATCTGCTCTTTTTTCCCTTCTTTTATTGATGGGTCAATTAATTTAAAGGTTTTTGCATGTTGACACATTGATCTCAACATATCTTTGTGCCTCTGCTTTTTTATCATACTACTGTCCATTATGCTGCTCTGAGCAGAAATTGTACAAAGCTGATTATGAGAAGAAGAAGGATAAGTATTCATTTGTGGTGGATGAACCTAGAACCTTGCTGGCCAAATGGGGAGGCGAACTGAGCAGTCAGGTACTGTGACAGTTTTGGCCAGAACATCTGGCATCTGGCCGTTGTCACTCTTGGATGTCTATCTTTACCTGTTAACAATGCCATAGGTTTTACCTATGATATTGAAGGTGTTTTGTCCTGCTCCGTACTTTGCCACCCAAAACAGCACAGCAGCTTTTTGAGTGAGCCTATGCATACTCTGTGTTCTCATAAGCTATGCACCAATGCATAATAAAAATTACTTCATAGTCAATCTAGTTATGGATAAATTTGGCATACTTGATTATTAAAACTCAGAGGCAACAGTGTGTCTTTCTCTGTGTTGCTATAAGGAAAATTGTGAGGAAAGCAGATCATTGGGTGAGGATCGTACCACATACTTTACCTTGTTTTCTTATGTTTTAATTAAGTCACATAATTATGTTGCTGTCAGCTGCTGCTCATTGGTGCAAGTTTGAGAATGCATATGTATCCCAGAGGCCTAAATCTCATTACTCTTGGGATCTAGAGCTCTTCTTGTTGTCTTTACAAGATTCTTTTGTGCTTCATTGCTGTTTGCATGGACAGAAAAAATATAAGTCTAGTGCCAAGTTGTTCCTGCAACACGGATGTAATGAAATTCTACGGCCAGATATGCTGACAGCCTTGTACAACACTTTTCAATCGAGCCAGGTAATGTATGAGGATGATGGTGGTGGTGGTGGTAGTAATAGTAATGACAAAAATGTATTTAGCTAACAGACATTCTATCACCCTGCCACACTATAGCAGTGGAAGTTGGGGAATCCACCTATAGTTTAATCAGATGGGCTTGTTTCTAAGTTGAGTTTTGTGGGCTAAAGCAAATGAGATGCAGCCAGAGAAACTCTTACGCCAAAACCTGCTTGCCCCCCAGAATGTGGTTCAACAGGTACAGGGCTCCAGTTTAGTCCCACTGCAGTACTGCCTTGTATTTTTATCATGGTATTTTTCAGCCATGTAAATATATGGATGCTCTTGACTTCAATAAATGAGAAGTACTTCAGGAGCCTGCCATTCACCCTTGACTTGGTCTGGCCCAAATTCTGCAAAGATTTAGCCAGGGGAAAGCCGATATGTCTTTGTATGTACACAGCACAAAGGTGTACATTTCAACCCATCTGCAGATGTGGGCAAACCCTTCTCTCTCTTCTCTTGCTCAGCAATCATAGCTATGCTCATCTGGCTAGCAAAAAGAATATGTTTCTTTCCCAAGTACAAGCTATATTAGGATACATGTCTTCACTTATTGTTTCTATAAGGAACAATACTGCCTTTCCCATTGAATCGAGCTAAAATTGTTTTATGGATTCCATATTTTCTGGGAAAACAGCTAGTACCAGTAATTATCCATCTTTGGTTGAAGGCCATCTCTATTTTGATAGTAATTAAACAAAATTCCTATCTCCATTTTGATACGAATGAAAACCTGGCCCATCTAAGTTCTCCTACTTGCCATTAATGCATGCATGCCTTCACTCTGTGTCCCTTTTAATAACCAATTTCAGTCATATTCTGCAGATGTGTATACATTGGAAAAATGTTGCAGAAATGCTTGAAGTGCCAAGAACAACATTTATTGTCCAAGCTCAATTCCCTACACTGGTTTTTATAGTCTATTAATTAAAAATAACAATTCATTTATGGTGCAGTCTTGTGCATATCTACTCATACCTACGCCACTGAATTTTGTGAGATCTGCACCTTAGTATTTGTGCATTGTTTGCAACCTAAGCCTTCTTGCTACTGAAAACATCAAAGAGCATCCAGTATCTTGTCCATAAAGTATGATTACCCCAGTGTCAGATCCACCTGATAATCTTTAAATTCTGGAGGTTGAGGTTCTTGGGAAAAAATGAAATGGGATATTTGGATGTAAAATGGCACAAATCCATTGATGCATTTGAACAGAAGAATCATCAAGATCCTAAATATATTTATATTATGCTAGGTTCTAATGGTTTAAGTTATCTTGAGTTTAGCACACTTTCTTTGAAGTAAGTCAAAAGAGTTAGTTGCCAGCTTAAGTTCCTAAGCACACTCACTTGGAAATAACTTACATTAACATCAAATGAATTCATTTACATAAAAGCATGGAATGTAGGTATGGAATGTCAGCCAACTTAAACATCAAATGCAGTGGTGTTACTGTTCCTGGGACTGGGCTCTCTGCATTGAACTTACACTAGTTCTCTGTACATTTGGCACTGGAACCTAGACTTCCCTTAGAACATTTTTGTCACTATTTTGCAGTTTGTTGTGTGTGCACTTATTCTTGTCTTTATGCATGATCATTGTTGTCTTTGAGTTTGCCTGCATTCAGAATAAAACAACATTTTTAAAGGTCCTTAGACCTTGTCCATAGACAGCTTTTAAAATTCTGAGCCAGCTTTACAACTTGGATAGCAACTGACCAAAAATATAATGTGTGATGCAGAATGCAGTTTTATACATGAAAGCTATCATGAAATTCCAACTCCCCTGTATGACAATAATATGTGCAATTTTGATTATTCATTATTGCAATTATCAATCACAATTTTTCATAAGCTACAATCAAAATTAACCAAAGCCATCTTGTGGAGGATTACTATAATAACAGAAAGTACACATCAGCTCAATAAGCTGACTGTAGATTTTAATGTACTTTAGGCCTGCATTCCTCAATCATGAGCTGGCATTGTCAGTATCAGGTCAATAGGCCTCTTGAGCTCAACTAGGCTGAAAGAATGCTCCATTTAATATTTTCTGAAAGTTGTTACTCACCTACTCTCCTTCTCCACACAACTGGGCTCTTTGATTGCGAGTGCCACCGAAGAGTCCAGAGTTCCATTTGTGTCAAATGCGCTGATATAGTTCCTTTACCTTTCCTTTATCCTGCCCAGGGAAGGATGCATAAGATTATCCCCTTCTTATTCTTACAGAAAGCCTGTTAGATAGGTTAGACTCAGAACAGCCACCCCTGGAGCAACTTGGCTGAGAGATAGTATAAACACAATCTTCCCAGCACAAGTCTAGCACTTTATTCACTACCCCAGGCTGGTTTCCTTTGAACTCAGCATAACCCAAAGCAGCTTAACTGGCATTTCCGTTGTGTGGGTTTGGCTCCAAGCCTACACAGTTTCGATTGGCTTCTGTGACAGCTGTTGAGAGCACACAGGTCAATGCCAGCTCTCTTCCTCCAGGGTGATTCTGTGGTGTTTTTGTTGCCATTCCATCCCATTCACTCTGGTTTCTTTTTCTTTCACCAGTACAAGTACAAAAGTCTGTATGAAAAGCAGAAGGACAAGTTTACAAGCATTGTGGATACTCCAGAACATCTGAGGACTACAAAAGTCAACAAGCAAATCAGTGATGTAAGTGTGGAAACTGTTAAAAGGTGGCATTCGTTGTCTTTATTTCTGGAGATGTGTGTGGAGATGATGGGTAGCATCAAAGTCGACCTGAGTGCTAATGTGAATTATATTGCACTAGAGCAAAGGAACTAATAGCGTTAGCTCGTGCAGTCTTCTGAGAAATCCGCCATACCAGTACGGCAGTATTGGAGTATTGGTGTTGCACTAGTGACCAGTTACACTAATGCAGCATAATTCACATTGGCACCCATATTGGCTTTGTTATTCTTCATTGATGCTGTACTCTTTGATTATTAATTTCACTTCTGTACCACTCAATAACTGAAGCTGTCTGGGTGGTTCACAACAATTCACTTTATGACAATAAATGTCTTGCTGGACTAACCTTTTGTGTAGTGATGTAGAGTGGTTAATTAAGACATTTGTTCTACAAGCATGGAAGAGGAAGAGATTACCAGTTTAGGCTTGTGTCAGTCTACTTACCAGTTAGGAAGTAGGAAGCCGAGAAAATGGCTAGCTGTGGCTGACCAGTTGACACATTTCAGGCAAATCAGTGAGGCTGAGGACAACTCAGTGATGAGCAACAGCCTAGTTGTGACTGGGAGTGACACAGGACATCCCACCCTCCCTCCTAGGGAGCTCGGTGTGGTGAAGTCGGCTTCCCCCCATTTTATCCTGATTGGGTGAGTTAGCTGAGAAAAAGTGATCGATTCAAGATCACTCGGAACACTTTATAGCTATCTACTAGACTGTGCTGTGCTATCAAGCACATCATTTCCATAGATACTCTTCTTTTCCTTGCCCAGAGCAGACAGGAAGTCAGTGGATGGCCACAAGTGGCACAACCACTTGTGAACTTCTGAACTCGATGCAAGAAAATGTGTGCTGTGCCTTTGTCTCAGGCTTGTTGCTGTTTCTCTCTTCCTCCTCCTCCTCCAAAGCATGAGCTGGGAATGTAGGAAATGTGCAATGGGCATGCACTCATAAAGACTATATGTGGGGCCAATAAAGCAATCCATACAATCTATGTCCAATAGCCAGGCCGCCCTTCTGGTGTGCATTCCTGACCTCCCCCATTTCCACCTGCATATGTGAGGATGGAATGTCCAAATGCTGCCTACATTCAGAAAGTTCCATGCCCGTAGGTGAACATTGCATCACTGATGTACTAATGTACTACTTTTACATTGCATTTATGTCCTGCCTTTTTGTCTTTTGTGAGGAACTCAAGGTGGCTTACATGCCTCAATTTATTGTCACAACAACAACCCAGTGAGGTAGGTTGGGCTGAGATCCCATAATTGGCTCTAAGGCACCCAGTTTCATGACTGAGTGAGAACTAGAATCCAGAGCTCCTAAAGCCCTAGTCCAGCACTCTAACCACCGTACTACACTGGCTGTCATAGTGGATCAAATGCAGTGTGCATGGCTTCATGAGAAGATACAGCATTTGGGGGTCAGACCACACATACTGGTGGTCATGTGGTGACAGAACTCTTGGGAGGTGGGAAGCAGTTGTAAGCACTTGCTTCTCCTCATGAAGAAGATACAGGAGAGAGATTGTTGCCTTCAGCTCAGCTCAGCGCATCAGTGGACATGTGGGGCATCCCAGGGGAATAAGAGTGGAGCAAGAATACAATGAGATTGTCCTGTATTAATTCCTTATAGTAAACACATATCTGTTAAACATGCCAATTTTTTTCCAAATTAAAATGTTTATAATAGCTAGATATGTCACCTGTCATTTTCTTGCTGTCAGATCCTTTACAAGCTGGAATACAACAGGGCCAAACCTAAGGGATATACTACAATTCATGATACCCCCATGATACTCCACGTACGCAAGGTCATGGACAGGATAAGTGATGTAAGTAAATGGTCTCGTAAATGGCATCTAGTAAGCTTCATAAGCAATCTTTTCCCTTTAATCTATGTAACTGCATACTTCTTTACTTCTTTATTAGATTTGGCTTGTGTCAGTATAAGAGCTAGCACTGAACTATAGAAATGTTGCAAATTTGACAGGCAGATCTATATCTTATGTCATAGCAGTGTTAATGGATATGGCTGTTACTTGCTCAAAACGTCCAGCGCTCAAGAGCAGATGTGAAAGGAGTCTGGAGGGCTGCACAGGGAAGGATAGGACAGGGAAGTCTCATTTCACCACTGGTATCTTACAGCTGGTGAGTCAATGACCTTAGATCCAAGCCATTCTAGAATTGGAAGATGGAAAAAAGTGAAGGAGTAACATAGTGAGTGAGTGCCTACTTTATACTGATCGAAAGTGGGACCAAACCTTAACATCATTTTAGAAATAATAAACTCAGAGATGGCAGTCGAATTTTCAAGTCCACACTTCATATATACTCAACATCTTTCTAGGAAGCATGTCTAACTGGTATCTCTGAAGTTTGCTGTAACAACTTCCATTGTTACACAATTGACCTACACACATTTCATATAAGCATCCTTTTGAAACAAATCAAGTATATTATGGTTTTAACATCTGAAGTGCAGCCTGACAATCCTCCTGTTGGCCTCTTATCATGTACAGTGCCGTTGTCCCCACCCGTCCCCAGCACCACCATGCTTATTTTCAACTCAGGTGGCCTGGGTCTCACATTGGCTGTCACTTCCTTTCAGCAAAATTTACAAATAGTGTACAGGAAGCAGGCCTTTCCCATTGCTGCCATTCATTATTGTCCGTCATAGCTGCAGAATCCAGAGATTTCTTGAGCCTAGTAGGTTAACACAACAGTATTGGGGAAGATTTAAGTTTAGCTCTGTTGCTTTGTTCCTTGTATAGATGTAATTTCCTGTTCTTTTCTTCTTTCAACAGCTGAAGTATAAAGAACTCTATGAACAGAATAAGTCTCACTGCAATGTTGTACCAGATTCTGTTCATATTCGGGCTGCCAAGCAGGCCTACAAAGTAAACAGCAATGTGAGTTCAATTTTATTGTTGTCAGTGACTAAGTCTTCCAAAGGAAACTGAGGGAATGAGACACCCAGGTCCCACTCAGCACAGGCCACTATAGTGGCCTAATTTTCATATGCGTATTAAAAAAAAAGCAATAACAACCCTAACAGAGTGGACAAGACAATACCTCTCATGCCAACTTTAGAAGTGTGTGGGGTGGAGATATGATAACCGCATCTCTTTGGACACAGCACATCAGAGAGAAAGGTAGGCGGTACAGATTCCCAGGTTCCAGCTTCCTTAGAGAGCCATGTATAGCTTGGGGGAAAAATGAACAAGCCATCCTCAAACAAACTGTAGTCCTGGCAACTCAGGAACTACCTTTGTTCTAAACAGTAAATCCAACCCCGGGCTGGTGGGTTTTTGTTTCTGTTTATGTGACCGGCAACTGGCTATATACCTTTTGCCATGCCTTTGCCATAGCAACACAAACATGGCTAAAATTCTGTAGCTGTGCAAGAGCTGAATAAGCAACTATTGATAGCAGGAGAAAGGTGGATATAGATGGAGAAGAAGACATTGACAGACATGACATTCAGCAGGCAAGGACAGTGGGAGGCATTTTAAGAGAATGTACTTTGTATCTGCATCCCACAAAGCCTTCCTTTGTCTGCAGTCCTGTTCGACTTACAAGCAACCGTGAATGTGGCCCACACAGTTCATACCATGCCCTTTAAAGTGCCTGACAACCACTGAAAAGCATGGCTTTTATTGAGTCCCTGGTGGACTATCACACCTGGATGGAGAGAAGTGAGGCATTCTGTGCGACTATCAGCATTCTTAGACATAGCATCTGCCTCTTCCTGACTCCAAACATTGCTGAGAGGCATTTTCCTTTTTTTTTCTGTAGGTCAGGACTTGGTTTTCACACTTTGAAAAAGTGGCTCTTTTGATTCTTTGTTTGCAGTATTTATGTTTCTCTTTGTTCACAGTATTTATATTTACAGTTTTTACATTTCTCTTTCAATAGCTGGATTATAAGAAGAAATATGAAGCAGCCAAGGCATTCTGGCACTGGACTGTGGACAGACCTGACTTTATCCAGGCTGCTAAAACATCCTTGCAGCAGAGTGATGTAAGCACATGAGAGGGGACTTTACACTCACCTTATTTTGTGGAGTATGCCATGCTTGCTTCACTCTCTGATTTCTTCTTTTTTTGCAGTATGAGTACAAACTGGACCGAGAGTTCCTCCGAGGATGCAAGCTGTCTGTAACAGATGACAAAAACACTGTGTTGGCTTTGCAGAATGCAATCTTGGCGAGTGATGTGAGTATATTTTCCTTTATATGCAGATTATTTTGCTTTCAAATATGTTGTATTAATTGCTTATTAATGTCTTTTTTATTTTTTAAAAAATATAAAAACCAAAGAAATAGTCCAATATAGGTTTCACTGGGCAGTCTACAGCTCTACAGTTAATATTCCTTCATTCATTCATCCTTTCATTTCATTTCATTTTTATACTGCCCAATAGCCAAAGGCTAATTTTAACAACATTTGTCATGCAAAAGAAGGCTTAAAATAAACATTCCATATGTCTTATACTATTGTAATACTGTTCTGCTCAATCCTTTTCCTACTTATCTCAATAAAATATAATCTAATAAAATAATATAGTTAATAAGTACAAGTAAAAAATGTCAAAACCAACCTTAGTGAATTTTAACGCTCTCTCTCAAATAGTATGTATTTCACATTCCAAACCAGTTGCAGCAAGAACTATATAATTAGAAAGCACACTTTGCTTTGAGGTTTAGTTGTAATAAACAGCTTCAAGCATTGAAACAAGTATTCTCTGTGCCCAGATTTTGGTTAGCCTTGGTAACTGGCCCAGGTTGGTGCTACTCACCATTCTTTGCTGATGTCAGACTAAGCCTGGATGTGTTCCAAGTGTGGACAAAGCCCAGCACAACTGCAGGGAAAGCCACCCAGTTCCCCAACCCCTGTCTGTCCCTACAGGCTGAACTTTGACTAACCTCAGTATATGGTCAGAGACATCCCACCCTTCTCCTGAGCATGCTGTATGCCAGGTGTACCCCCGAGCTGTGCACTGCCTTCAGAAAGCCTCAGAACGTAGTGAGACTCTTTCTTCCTTTCAAAGTCTGTTTTGGCTCGTGCAGGACAGGACTGGTTTTTTCCCTCTTCTAGCTCTGGCGCTCTCAGAAGAGATGTGCTTGCTAGTGGTGAAGCTTATTTCTTCAGACCTTGCTGAAGTATAAAAGTTTTTTTTCCTCTATTCCATGTTCTAGATAAAATATAAAGAGAAGCATAATAAGGAAAGGGGAATTATCCATCCAGTTCCAGACACTCCTCAGATCCTTCTTGCAAAGACTGTTAGCTCTCTTGTGTCTGAGGTAATTAAAGCAGTTTTTACACACATCTGATTTTAGAATTGACTCCTTCTAAAGATATGTGATTTTGAACCTATTTTTTCTCTTCGTAATTAGAACAAATACAAAGAACATGTGAAGAAGCACCTTCCGCATGGCTCCTTTACAAAATTGCCTGAAACACTGGATACCGTTCGTGTTAAAAAAGTAACAAAGAATGTCAGTGAGGTAAGTGTCCCGTGCATTGCTTCATGCACACTGTAGACCGAGTTGCATTCGTCTTGCTCATTCACTGGTGCTAGAAATAGTTGTTTCTCTGCTGTAAACTGTGTCACAGGCTAATCATTGCTTCCTAAAATGTTCCACCCTGCTTGGTGCTGGTATCACTTTAATCAGGATATCAGTTCAATTGGTTAGTTATAAACATAAGCTAATAACTTGGTTAAATAGAGCCTCCGTAATTCTGTGTAAATGGAAGCTCATTATGTGATAGGAAGAGAATGTCTTTGGAAATATTTACGTAGATTGTGGTTCCTAATATGAGCATTCATGAGTCTTGGTAAAGGACTTTAATATAATATTTAGGCAAAATATTGACATTTTGCACATTCAAAGGTATGATAGAAATAAATGGTGGAGGAAGAAGTGAAAGAAAAAAGAAGGAAGAAAAGAAGGAAGGAAGCGAGCAATAGAATTATTATGTGCATCAGTTTTTCCTCTATGCAGCTCTTGTCATCTGTGTTTCTTATTTTATATTTCAATAAGGCACACCTTAATTGTTTTATGAGTGACATAACTTTTTGTTCCAAACAGACAAATTATAAAAAGAAGTTTCAGAAAGAGAAAGGCAAGTCAGACTATTCAATCATGCTGGAACCCCCTGACGTGAAGCATGCCATGGAAGTTGCAAAGCATCAGAGCACGGTGAGTTAATTCTGTGAATAAGTCTCTAAAAACCCTTTCAGTAAATTCAAGAATGGCCAGTTTGAAGCTAGAAACATACTTGGGTCTGGAGAGCTATTTTAATTTGTTTTAATTGCTGGTAATATGCATATGATTTGCATGAATTGTAATGCCTGCCACAGCAGATCTTGCCAACATACAAAGGTTTTTTTACTCTACAATTTTTAATGCTGTGTGCCAGAGCAGGCAAACCTTTTGGACCATAGGCACATTTGGAATTTAAAAAACGGTTCTGGGCACCACCACCACAAAGGGCTGCCATAGCATGGCAAATAATCTGCCCCAAAATCCAAGAACAAGGCAGAGGAGGAGTTTGATCCTCAGCACTGCAAGCCCTCCTTTGAACCCACAGTTTTCTGTGCCAACAGAAACCTATTTTGCAGCAATCCCACTTGCCAGTAGCATATTTGTCTTGGTGAGCTTCAAGAAAAGCATCCGAGAGTGCATGGTGTCCACAGCAGCCACATTGACTAACCCTCCCATTTGTAATCAACCTCAAATTATGCCTTTGGAAAGGTATGATACAAGATTAGAAGACATAAGATTTAAGTATGACAGATGTGCCATTTAAAACTTGCCCCCTGCCTGTGAGCTTTATGACATCTCAAGCCTATTGCCTACATGTTATCTATAGAGAAAATTTACTCTAATTTGAGGTTCAGAACTCCATTTTGATTTCTAATATACATATGCACAAAATAATGCCATCATTCATTATATACATATTCAAGTATATAAGGTTTATGTGAAGTTAATTTTACCTCCATCCCACTCTTACCACCTTTCTAAGTGAAGAGCACTGTACTGTCCAAGACAAATACCTGGTTCTTATGCTTTAGAGAAGTAGACTGCAATTGATAAGATTGTCTATATGAAACTGAAGAGAAAATTGGCCCTTCCATTGACCTTGCCTATGGCAGGCCTTTTCTTTCTTCTACTGGAGTGAATAGCTGCTGTTCAGTTCCACGGGAGAAAGAAATCAGGTGTGAGATTACATCATCAGGCTTTGCCAGGAACTCATGGGGCTGGGTATGCACTAGGCATGCACACTACCATCTTCATAGGGTCCTCGCAATCCATGGCCTTTGCTCTTCTTTACTCATAGCAGGCTAATCTGCTTATACGAAACTGAATGGCAAAATATCAGTTGATGTCATCATTCTGCTGTCCTTTTACATTCAATACTACTTTGATAATCACTGTTCTTCATACTTGTTCTCTTCTAGATCAAATACAAAAAAGATGCCAAATCAAAGCTCCATTACACCACTGTGGCTGATCGACCAGACATTAAGAAAGCCACCCAAGTCTCCCATTTAGTTAGTGATGTGAGTACATGTCACTGTAACTGCTCAGTAGCTTGTTGATGTATAGCGCACACACAAGTAATGTAAATACAATTTTCACTTCAATATGAAGGAGCCAAAATTGCTTTGTTTTTCAAATGCATTGTATTTGTCCTAGATTGAATACAAAGCCAAGTTTCGTGGAGAAGCTGGTATGGGAGTCAGCATGCTAGGACGACCAGATATTGAACTTGCTAAGGAGGTGTCTAAGCTGACAAGTCAGGTATGAGCAAATGGCTTCCATAAATAGTTGCAATACAGTTGTGGCATGCATTTTTCACAATCTGTTGGATGTAATACCAACTTCTTAACAGATAAACTTGGAGGTCATTTCAAGTTTTTCAGTTTTGCAGGTCATATCAAAACAGACTGTATTCATGACAATTTGACCAGATTTTGGCTGCTGCCAGACAAATCTCAAGGATTGAATTCAGTTTCAGTGGTCTCTTTCCAGTGGTAGGTGGGAGAAGACAAAAGGTGTGGGCCCAAAAGGAAAAGAGGTCAGGCCAAAGAGAGCAACCCCAAGAGAACAGGACATGATGCCAGATGGCCAAGTTTGGCTAATAGGCCTGAGCTTTGATATCCCTGAACTTCAGAAATGCCCTCTAATACATGGAGGTTATCTTTGGCAAAAGGTGTCCTTGTGTGTGTGCATTCTGCATTCCATTCATGGAAAGGGGAGTTCGGTGCTGTAGGCATCCTTTGCATACATGGGCATTTCTCACCCACTGAACTGAGTGGGAGAAGCAGTACTTTGTGCACTCCCACGAAGCATTAGAGAAATAAACTGGATTCTGGTTTCCACTGGTGGATTTGTTTCTGAGTCTCCAATATTTTATTGTTAAACCATTGTTTTACATTTGAAACAGATTGTTTTCTTCATAACACAAGGTAAACTTCAGTTGGACAGCCCATGTTAATATTTTTTTCCGAAATAGTTCCAATAACTTTTGTTAGGTAGGGCAGCATAAGGGGGAAACAGGACTTTTCGAAACCTGTGTGTGCCTCATAATCCACGGCCCTCCTTCTCTTATTTTTCCCTATTTCACAAGACGCCAGCGCTGCTCATAGCAGTTGAATAGGGCAAGGGCTCTGGGTAAAAGGGGTTTTCGGAAAGATTCATCAGCTGGGAGGGGTTGCTTAAGCCTTGCTGCAGGCTTCTCCAACCAGGTGCTTTCCAGATTTGCTGGACTATAACTCCCATCACTGGCAGGGTAGTGCAGTGCATCTGAAGAAGGCAGCAGGAGGCTGTGGTAAGGATTCTTGCATCTTAATGACTCCCCATATCTGGGTTCTTTACTGTTTATCTTCAGCTAGATTCTGTGCTCAGACGAGAAACTGACTATGGGGGAAAACAGCATCCTGAAGCAGGGGAATTTGCAGGGAAGGATCAGCGGACATTGGAAGGGTTGAGCACCTCCCATTCACTGATCTCTCGCTGTTATTTCTCTTCCTTTCCCTGCACTCAGGTTATCCAAGGAGCACATGTTTGTTTGCCCATGGGAGTTATAGCTTCACTTCCATAAATAAATCAAGCAAGCAAGCTTCAAAGAACCTTGTAACACATTAAAGGCTAACAAATTTAGTCTGACATAAACTTTTGTGGCCTGTTGCCCAGTCTGCTTGTAGAAAGTGTTACTGGTTTGTGGACAGTAGATATGCTGCAGGGGTAAAAAGGTAAAGGTGAAGGTTTCCCCTTGACGTTAAGTCCAGTCATGCCTGACTCTAGGGGGCGGTGCTCATCTCCGTTTCCTAGCCGAGGGAGCCAGCATTTGTCTGCAGACAGTCTCTGTGGTCATGTGGCCGGCATGACTAAATACCGAACTGCACGGAACCTGTTTACCTTCCCACCAAAGTGGTACCTTTTATCTACTTGCATTTGCATGCTTTCGAACTGCAAGGTTGTCAGGAGCTGGGATGGAGCAACGGGAACTCACCCCGTTGTGCAGGTTCGAACCGGCAACCTTTTGATCTACCAGCCCAGCAGTATAGCGGTTTAAACCACTGCACCATCTGCAGGGGTAGAAAACTGTAAAAAGTGGGATCCAAAGGAAATTAAATAGAAGGTACCAATTGTTAACATTGCTTATTCACAATATGGTCACAGTAGATGACAATTGCATTGTTAACAGCCAGTTGCATGACTCCCAAAGGCTTGCATTATGGTAATTTAATTTCTTCTGTCAAGAACAACTCCATGCAACATTTCCTATATTACCTGTACAGGAAATGTAAAGACTAGAAGATCTGATCTATGTTCATCTCTGCATGTATTCTTTTTGAATTCAGTAGGGTTTCAATAGATGATCTTTCTTCCATATAAATGAATGGTCTGAAATAAGCCATTTTTACCATACTTTTTTGTTGTACATGGAGACAACTGATAAAGATTTTTGTTCTACAGTTTCTGGAACAAATGTGTTGAAAATTGTTCTTAGTGAGGGAATGTGTCTCCCTGTGTGTAACCTACCTTCTTTCCAGTTCCCTTTAATTTATCAATGATCTTTGGCAGCCATTTTTCTGTTTGGGCTGTTATATATTTTCATGGTTCGTAACAGTGGGATTTTTAAAAAAATCTATTTTAAATAACATTACCTTGTCTTTTAGAGCTGTCTGTTTCTGCCCTCCGTTTGATTTCACTTGGTGTGTTTCTGACACTTGCTGTTTTCCATGAAATTCTTCTCCCTCCCTCCACTTTCCCAAAGAAGACCTGATTGTCACCTGCACCTCAGCCTCAGCTTCTTGTTTGTCCCTGCAGAGGTTTGCTGTTCTAATCTTGCTATCTTGCTACGCTTTGTAGGTAGAGTACATCAAAGGACACTTGAGGGGCCATGGTGCTGCATCATATGATACACCCATGATGAGACACGTTAAGAAAGCTAGTATCTTAAGTAGCCATGTAAGATGGATTTTAAGTGACTCTCCTCTGCAGCTGCCAATTTTATGAGTCTTGCTGCATTTTACATCCTTGGCACGTGACATCGGGCCTGAATTGTCAATGGGATGCATTGCTTTTTTGTCTTCTTGGAATCACATTTCTGAGACCTCCCCTTTCTTTCTTATGTAAAGCTGCGCTTGGGAATTTCTTCAGTGGTAGATTTCATTCAAGCATAATTTCGAAAACATCTCTGACACAAGGAGAAACTTGAGATACCTGAAACCTGTGTATGTGAGTGGGGTGTCTTCTCCAAAGTAATTTATATATAGAGCACTGGTGAAATCCATGGCAAACATTCGCACTTGATATAATGCTTTGTACCCAACTGTGTACCCCAGGTTCATGTGCACATATATACATACACACAATGGTAAGATGGAATTAATCTAGAGTTTATCTATAGCTGTAACTAAAACTGGTACCTCTAGTCAGAACTGATTATTTATCTCATTTTCTGATCATTAGCAACTGCAGCATTCCAGCTTTGCTTGAATGAAAAAAGTGCTGGCTGAAGAACTTGTTGCTCCCCACTTATGCACACACACACACTCTTACCTGCCCGGATTTTGTAATCTAATGGAAATTTCCTTTAAATTGCTGTGAAATGCTACTACAAAGTATTCAAGCACCAGGCCATTCCTGTGCCCATTCATTTCCTCACTTCAGCCTGCTGCTTCATGGACTTCATTGTTCTCATGCATAAACTAAGAATATTACTGGGTTGCACCCAACAGTTCCCAGTGCAGTAGTGATGGACAAGCTTTCATTCATGAAACAAGGCCAGATAAACTCCCAAGGATGCTGAGGGTCTCCTTCCCCGGGTCTCCTGAAGTAGAATTTTAAAGCCCCTGAAGGATGATCAGGAAATATTTATCACCAGACAACAGTGATGAATAGTAATATGTCAGAGATTTGGAACTAGCTCCAAACTTATCACTAAATTACCATTGAGCGCTCTTACTTTGTGATAGCTATTCCCTGATTATCCTTCCCCACTCACTCTCAGATGATTTAGAATGAAAACATTATCTTTTCTCCGTAACGATCTACATTTTGGACATAGGTTTCATAAGGAAAAAGGGGGATGTTTTATTTTTAATTTCTCTTTGCCGTTACTGCATGTATCAGCAAGAGCATGTCATAAAAATCACCCTGTCTTATTTGTGAGAAAAATCAAGAATTTGTAATGAAAACACTTCTTTTTTCTTTTTGGTGACAGGCCCTTCCAGTAATAAGGGTGTTCATCTATTGTGCTTTTAGATTCTTGTGACTTCTTGGAAAACATTTAAGGGTAGTTTTCTGTTCTCGAAAGAAGCCATTCATTTTGGAGCAGGCCTAAATGTGACCTATCTTTGATGTTGTATGTGTATGGGGGGAGGTGCTTATTTGATTTTTGTGTGTGTATGGGGGGAGGTGCTTATTTGATAATGCAACATCACAACTTGCTAACCTTTTCATATGAGGTTTGTTTGTCACTGTTGTTGGTACCCTCTCTATATGTCGTGTCTTATAGTTATGTCGCTGATTGTTGTTTTAATCTGTTAGTAAATTCTTCCCTTTCGCTTATCATTCATTACTTCATACTCTAAATTTCAGTTTTACAAAATAAACTTCTTGTCATGTTGTTTATCTAGTAATACCAAGCAATCTTGGTATAAACCTCTAATAGTAGGGACTCATTTTAAATGATTTCTCCTCAGTTGTGCAGGCCTTCCATTCTATACTTAAACGTTCAGGCTATGTATGGTTTTCTCCATTCATTTCAGTGGATTCCACCCTCACATGTACATTCCTTAGTGGGAAAGGAACTAGTTCCTTACATTGAAATGAATTGGAAAGGCTTACACATCTGAGACCTCAATGTCTATAGTGCATTGTCCACAGAGCAAGGATTTGCAGATGCAGTGAGGAGATAATTAATTCACAAAGTTGAAATGATAATTATTTTGTTAAAAAGGGTGCACAAACATGTGGATTCATCATTTCAATTCAGAACAGTGTGCTGAAGTCTGTATACTCTTGAAAGCTTGCTTTAAAAATCCCCAAACAAACAATGTGATTGATGGAGATATACCAAGTGGCTTGGCATATGATCTAGGAAGTGTTTCAAAAGTGTTCACTTTCTCCCCATTGACTGAAGTGTTTGTATTTTTTTAAAATGTGTTTTTCAAAGTATGCACACAAATACATATTTTTAATTCAGTCATACATTTGGGAATTTGTGAACATTTCTTGCAAAAAAAATCCTTTTTGTTCATATTCACATTCAGGATTGCAAACAGGATATGATTTGTGAACAGAAACAACATTCTAGTACATCTTTATGTATTACCTGGATTTCTTAAGGTGGTTCAAGGACCAACTCAGGAGTAATATGCTGTTACTTACTCTTAAGAACAAAAGTATTATCTTTGTCTGTCCAGGACAGCTTTTAGCTTGTTGTTACTAACAGTAGGCGCCACACCACATGACTAAGTATTTAGAAGCCAAAGAATAAGATAACATTAGAAAGCAGTTTGTATCATGTGGCACTAGCTTTCATTAAAAAATGCGATGTCACCTACCTCGTAAGAACATATGAAATACCTCTCTGGATCGTGCCAATTATGTTTTCGTTTGTCCCCCCACCCTTCATCGTATCTCATGTATGTCATTGTGAGAACAGTCATGTCCCTTCTGAAGTGCATCATTAGCTACTGAGTTGTATACTTTTCTTGTAAAGAAATCTAACCTATAGGCTTGAATGGCAATTGAATATAATCACCAACATCTTTTGTCAATCCAACTCCAAAAGATGCAGCTATTCAGCATGAATGGTTCTGCATTGTGTGGAAGAACTTGCCAATGTGTGTAAAAAGTCCAAACCCATGGAATATAATTTGTACTGTGGCCTCTTCACATTTACCAATGTTAAAATAAATGTATGTATTTATTTCCAGTGATGTGCATTGACCCCAGCATGACATATTCCTTTCATCAGTTATGTCAATCAGCTCTTTACTTTTCCAGCAGTGAATATCTAATATTTTGCTTCTTTTTTCAAGTTACTTGATCACTTTGTTTATGAAGCTTTTAAAGGTGGAATCTTGTGCAAGCTTAGACAATTCTATGGCTGTAGCATGCCGGGAGTTGTAGGCCATTTTTTCTGTCTAACTTTGCATAGAGTTGCATCCTAAGTCTTAAGAACCTTGCTCTGTACACTTAGCATGCTATTAACAGGAAGAAGTAGCAGCATAAGTAACTATGCACTTGGAGGTTATACCCAGTAACAAGTTCAACTTGTTAAAAAGTGTCTTCTTTGTTAAAAATGGTTATTCTCTCATTAGAATTAAAGCAATCTGGATGTATCTATCTATATCCATTGTCAGTACATGGATATTTCAGATGCTCTGCTAAGGAAAAGTGAACTACCAATCAGTGGGACATTTCAAGTAGAAGTGCATAATACTTTTTTACTTCTTTGTTTTGTTTTGCTACAACCCAGAGAACCACCAACTTTAGCTAGTTGCAAAAGGCATAACATTAGAATTAAGGAATCCTAAGGCCAGGAATGTATTTTGGGTACCAGAAGTGATCTGAGACTATAGTTTTTCCACACAAAAATTAAAGCCCTTTTCAATTCCTCAGTATAATTTTGGACAGGGTATGGGGGATATTTTGTTGCTATTGTTAAACTATTGAAAGTAAAAAATCCTTGCTGATAAATCACTCAGAAAACTGCCAGTAGATCCACATATACATTCTGTCTATACCCGTTTTAAAGAATAGACCATATTGTGCAGCCTTTCCTTACCTGGTGCCCTCCAGCTGCATAACCAGATTGGACAACATGTATAAATAATGATTAAAATTTTAAAATTCATCAAGTGAAATACCAACTAAAAATTAGAAATAAAAATTCATAATTAAAACTACCAACATGTAAATAACACCATAAATAAAAGTCTGCACTGACATGTGTACAAAGATGATGCCTGGTGCAGATGTTTCTATTACGCAGCATTCTGTATCATGATTTTGTACAATGTCCATTTTAGAACCATTTTAAATAAACCCTAATTTGCCCCTTGTTGCACTTTCACAAGCTTTCTTTAAACTCCTTTCAATGAGTGAATTATATACTTAAATTGTGGAGCTGAAATACAACCACTGAATGAAAGAGGCAGACATCATCTTCTAAATGTAGCATGTGTCTACGTTATGTTATCAAGTGGATTATCTTGACTGTTGCGATGGTATCTTCTGTTTTGAAGAGCTGTTATGCTATGCATCTTTTGACATGTCTGCTTGCCAGCAGGTTCACTTTGGACAACTTGAATGTGGACTTTTTCTAGGCACCAAACAAGCTAACATTCAGGACTAGTCTTAATGTTTGTTCTTTTGGAATTAGGTGAAATACAAAGAAAGGTTCGACAAGGAGAAAGGGAAAAGGCCACAATATGACCTAAAGGAAAGCAAGATCTACAAAACCTTAAAAGATGCTCATAACATTGCTAGTGAGGTAAGTCTGAGTAATCACCCTTGCAGCATCTTGAAACACCATGTGCGCTCAAGTACCAAAAAGTTCACCACTTACTCAGGTTTGGTTTGCCATGGAAGGAGAACCCTGGAGTCTTGTGTCATTTTCTGATATTTGGCTTATTACAAATGTATATAATACATCTGAGTTTATTTGCAAATATACCTAGACTAAGCACAGAAAGAAGCAAACAGCTTAAATATTACAGGAGAGTTCATTTCCTCATATCAGATCCCCAAAGAGTCAGCAAAAGGGCACTGTCCAGATCTGACTCTCTCTGTGTGTCTCATTCTAAACCTGCCATATTATCCCCTAAAGGGCTTCTGTTCTCTATTCACACCCAGCTTGCTCTTTCCCTTTGCTTTCCTCTTCATCAACCACCCCCTAGCTTTCTTAAGGCATAATTTTCCTGTTTGAGGATATGGCAGCAGAACGACCACTTCCTTAGCCCCGGAAGGTGCAATGTGTGTCTTCCATTTTGCAGAACATTTCCTTCCCATTGGCAATTGTAAGACGCAAACTGACTACACCAGTTCTGGGATTAGCACTGTGTTTCTCTCTTTTGGAGCAGGCAAGAGCATGTTGAGGGGCGTTGGGTACTGCAGATCCAAGGCCTCCCCTAATCTTTCCTGACATGCCTGTTTCCTCTTTACTGCTGATAAAACACCGTTAGTGGTAAACAAAACAAAACACAAAACGCTTTGATGCTTTTCTTTCTTTTTCTTTTTCTTTAATGCACTTTTTATTTCTTGCCTGCCTATTGAAATGTTGGGATTAGCTAGGCCTAGAAAACTCATCTGATGCTGATGATGCTCCATCATGCTCATCTGATGGAGGAGGCTTTTGACACTGTGCTTTTAGTGTCAGCACAAAAAGTAGTGTGAATTCTCCATCTGCAGGGCAACACTTCTTTTAAAACCTGCAATTCATAAGAGGATAGCCAATACATTGGAAGACCATAACCTTCACATGTTATCTCTCTATGCATTGTTCACATTTTTATTGAATGTTTATGTATTTACAAATATATATATTTATATAAATATATATTTATATATATTTTTCTCACAGGTTAAATATAAGGCAGACTTGAAGAAGCTTCACAAACCTGTGACAGACATGTCTGAATCTCTCGCTATGAATCACGTGTTGAGCACCAGCCAGCTTGCCAGTTCTGTAAGCCACATACCTAAGTCCGGATCTGTTTTATTTAACATCCCATCCCATTTGCCTTCCTGAGATAATCGCTGCTAACAGCTTCTGTAACAGTTTTCCTCCTTCACTGTTCCTAGGACATCACCTGGTAGTGATCTCTTCTCTCCTACCTAATGAAAACTCCCCATGTGGACTAGCAACATTAATACCTCTGGTCTCTAGGGAATTTTCTATTAGCTGTAGAAATGCTAATATTGTAAAACTTCTAACCAATTTTAATGACATTTTAAACTTACATTTTTGACTAACAAAAATATGTTTTTTTCTTGCTTTCATATTTTTGTACTTACTACTAGCATTTGTAGCTCTTCATCTTTTACAACCTTTTCAAAATTAATCTGCTTTTCTGAAATTTATCAACCTGCTGTTAGAGCACAGCATGATGATTAAGCTAACAAGAGAAGAAGCCCCATTGCAACATCCAATTTTAATTGTGCCAACTATTTATTATATTTCTTTGTTTCCTTCTTCTTAATTTTGGGGTTTTTTGGTTTTTGTTTTCATTTACAAGACCTTGTCCTTTCCTGCAAAATATTGCAAAGGACAAGCAAATATCCCAGAGAGCTTCAGTATTAGTCTGGGCTTTTCTTCTTTTTTTCCTTTGATGCCTTTCTTTCTTTCTTTCTTTCTTTCTTTCTTTCTTTCTTTCTTTCTTCTTCCTCCTTTTTTGAAATGCAGTTTTGATTTCTTGTCTGACCACTGAAATGTTGGATTAGCTGGGCCTAGAGAGCTGATCTGGTTAGGATTTTTTATTCTTATTATTGAGGTGGTTTTTGACGCCTTCCCTTTAGTACCAGTACAAGAAGCAATATGAGAAGAGCAAAGGTCACTACCACGTGGTCCCAGATAACCTTGAGCAGGTCCATCTGAAGGAGGCCTCAGAGCTCCAGAGCATAGTAAGTCAGAGAAGAGTCTCTCCTCTCACATCATGTTGCAACCCATTGTCCACATGATATTGTCATTCTAGCACACTCCAGGGCCAATCTGACAACAAGGCAGTGAAAAATGTACTACTTCTTTAAAATGCAGCATGCTATAAATTGTATAAAGTTAAACTCTCTCCTGGATAAATAATACACCATGGGTACGCTGCAGCACAAATGAAAAAGTTGCTTCCTCAAAGGGATTTTGGGAGTTGTAGTTCTGCAGAGATGCTTAGACTACTAATTAAAACTCCCAGCTACCTCTTTCTATCACATTGATTGCCAGCTTACAAAAAAGCCATGACATTGGTTAAAGCCACTGTTACGTCAATGGTGGCGATGTAGCCTGACTTGTGCACTCCTTGTCTGTGCAGTACAGCAGCAAATATTGGATTAGACCCTATAATCACTTGCAACCAATTTCTTGGTGAACTTAAGTGCAATCCATTTCTTAAAAATTAAATCGTAAAAATGGCCTCAAATTTTGTGTTGCATGTTAGAGCCGCTTGATAGATTTTCCAACTCTCTCTGTTCACACATTTTCTGCCAGTTAACTAAACAATACCCTCACATCTTGGTTTTCAGACATTCTGTAAGATCTGATTCATACATTGCCTGGGTTTCAGTTTGTGTGACGCTGTGATACTGTCAAGTGATATAGTTGCTTATTCCTACATTATGTCGAAACGTAGAGTCCACCATATGAAGACATCAACCATGTTGCTGTGATGATATAGAAGACTGGCTTCCCTGCAGTCCTTGAAAGTGGCATTTAGTGTCTCATGCTCTGCTCTGTGATGTGAAGTGAAGTGACCTGTCTCTCACCTCACAGGCCACTGAGCTGTCACTTTGTATGGCTGACTTTTAAAATAAAGAACAGGCACTCGCCTTCCCTGCAGGACCATTTCTGTACCCCTGTTTATACACCATAGTAATACAGTGGGATAACATTCATCTTCCTCTTGCAGGTAAAGTACAAGGAAAAATATGAAAAGGAAAGAGGAAAGCCTATGCTGGACTTTGAAACACCAACGTACATCACTGCTAGGGAGGCTCAGCAAATGCAAAGCGAGGTAAGGCCAGATGAAGAGTAATAATTTCATGAGATAATCTTGTGTGTACCAAACAGAGTGACTGTATAATTAGAAAGAGTATAAACAAATTGACTTTAACGTGGTACGCCTAAATTTGTTACTGTTTGTTATTCCTTTGAGATATATAAATGAATAAAACTGATGGAAAGGATGCCAAACCCATATAATTTCTGATTCTCATTTCCGATATAATTGCTGATATAATAAGTGCTCAGTCAGCGCCAATGTTCATCTTTAGGCATTCAGGCATCTAAATTCACCTGTGACGTCTTGTGTTAAAGGCCTTTAACATTTACCACTACAGGACTTTTATCACTGAAGGGAAACGGAAGGACCTAGCTATGTCAGGGAAACACTGCTGGAACAAGCTCAGTGGGTGCCCTTTCTATGCCATTCACTCCATCAGTTTAACCTTCCCCAACATAGACAAGTACATTCTGTTCCCTTCAGACATGCCACCAGTATGTTTCAGCATTAAAAATTACTGACTATCTTTGCAGTATCCCCAACCCATTCTCACTCCCACCCCCAATATTGGCACTAATTCTGTTCCTTCCAAAGTCATTTTGTAAAGTGAGTGAAGTTTAGATCCTGTTTGGTCCCAGCATAAACTCACACAGTGTGATGAAAGATCTCTATAGAAGAAACTTGGTTGTAATGTCTGAGTGATTTTGTCCATTGTTTTCATTACACGGCCCTTCAAAATACTGTAATGTAGTGTAATAGTGTAACTGGCCATTTGACCAGGGTTTAAGGGAGAGGAAAAGGGATATTGAGATGCATATACCTTCACTGGGTTAATATGCATTTCCACACCAGCATAAGAGTTAATGATATTTTATGATGGGAGTACTTTGTTTTGTGAATGTCTTGTTTATCCAAAGCCCCCTTGGGTCAGTTACACAGAATGGTCATTTGTAATATAGCAGAACACCAACAAACTCCAAATAACAAAATAGCAGAAATTTGCCACAGCAGCAAGACTAACTAACACTGCAGGATAACTGGGAACTTTTCTTCTTGCTGGCCTACTTTGTACTGTTTCAAAATAAATCCATTTTCCCTCCTTCTTTTTTTCTTTCAACTCCTATCAGAAAGAATATAAAAAAGATTTTGAAGAGTCCATTAAAGGCAGGAACCTTACTGGTCTGGAGATCACACCATCTTTATTGCATGTCAAATATGCCACCAAAATAGCAAGCGAGGTAGCGGCTACTCTTTTGTCTTCTGCTATGAACAACCCAACTAGTTCCACTAATTGCCCTCACCAAAGGAGTCCCTTCACTCCTGTTCTTAGCAGGCTTAACTATTAGCCTTACATATAATTTAATTTGTGTTTGTGGCTTGTTCTACTCCTTTTTATTTACTAATTGTTAATTATATTAGCAACATCTATGTTTTTCTGTTGATGGAGTAGATTGTTCCACTCTATGCATTGTGAATTTTTAAAATCAAGCCTGTTGTGTTAATCTGTGTGTTTTTATAAAATACTATAACAGTTTGTTGCTTTGAAATAATCTGAAATTATTCTGTTGGCTTTTTTCATTTATTTTCACCTCTCCAAGCACATATTCTATCTGCCTCTGTCTCTCCTTGTCTCTCCCTCTCTCGTTCTCTCTTTCTCTGTTTCTCCATTTTCTTTCATTTTTTCCTGTTTTTCACTCTAGAAAGAATACAGGAGAGATTTGGAAGAAGGTGTCAAAGGTAAAGGTCTAACCATCCTGGAAGAGACCCCAGACTTAATCAGAGCAAAGAATGCAACTTACATCTTGAATGAGGTGAGGCACACCACTATGTCGTGACTTCCCTGACAAGGCATGAGCTGCCTGGGAACCCAACACCTCACTCCTTCTGCACATTGGTTAGAAGTCTCAGAACATGTAGATGAATCCAAAATACGGCATAACCTTTTCCATTAATGTATCCATCCATTCATTAATTTGTGAGCGACTCAATAATTGATGCTCTCTGGATGGTGTACATAATACAAGCAAAAACAATGAAACAAATCATAAATTCAGCAATAAAAATTATCATTGCTTTAAACCAACAACAAACACTCAGTATTTAGAAGAGATTAATAACTGAGCAAATCATTATTTTCTAGAAACAAAAGGATTTTACAATTCACTATTAAATATTAAGAATATTAAAATAGTAAATATTAAAAAATAAAGCACACAGCAGTTAATACTCTGAAAAGGCCTGAGTGAATAAAAAGGTCTCAAATCTATGCAGTGGGTTTTGCCCCACTCATTTATGCTAGACCTCCCCACTCTTCCTCCCGTGGCAGCTCCTCCAGCCCCTGAACATACTACGCAGAGAGTGTAGGCCAGCACAGGGTCTCCTCAAGATCAGCATGATAATCCTGCCCCCTTGTGAACCCTCATCTTTCTCATTTTCCTTTAACTATAGAAAGAGTACAAGAGAGCTCTGGAGATGGAAATCAAAGGAAGGGGCCTGACAGACCTTGCATTGGAAACACCTGACTATATGAGGGCAAAGAATGCCACAGACATTGCTAGCCAGGTCAGTGAGAACAGCTTTATTAATAGCTCCCCCAAGGGAAACTGTATTTATAAATGTAGTCATTACAAATAGCTACCTGTGACCTTTCCACCAACAGATTAAATACAAGCAATCTGCAGAAATGGAAAAGGTCAACTATACTACAGTTGTCGACACTCCAGATATCATCCACGCCCACAATGTGAAGAACTTATCCAGTCAGGTAATGATGGCTTTTGTTTCAATGTTGCTGTTGTTGTTCAGTTGCAAAGTCGTGCCCAACTCCTTGCGACTCCATGGAGAACATTCCTCCAGGTTCTCCTAATATTGCTGTGTGTGTGTGTGTGTGTGTGTATATATATAAATTTAATAGAGATCCTTTATTTTAATGGTTGGGCCCTTCATAACAGAAGATCATAATTTCATAGGCATAACTGAAAAAACAAGCAAAAGCAGAAGCAAAGCAGATGTTGGACTAGATAGTAGGCAGCCTGAGAACGCCATGTTCCTTGGAAGATGACATTTACATGTCATAAATAAATTAAAAGAATGACTTCACGTAAATCCGTAGAATAGGTGCCACATTGTTATGATGCTCCATATATTTTTAAAGTATTGCTCTGGCTTTCACTGTCACAGACAACATCTAATATATTTGGAAGATCTGATAAAATTAAGAGTCAAATTTATTTTCTAGTTTAACTATCATAGAATTGGAGAATCATTGGTCCTCACTGATCTGAAACTATAAATATGTGCCTGAGAGTCATCTTATCTCAGAAGGTGATGGGTTGTCATTCTCCATCTTTCCAAGCATTATATAATAAATGTTCTTTGCCTGATCTCTCCTATGGCCCATTTCACACATTATGCAGAAGAAATCTTGAGTTTGCAGCCGAAGGTAGGAATACATAAAATCCTACTACAGCCAATCACAGTGTCTAAAAAGCATCCCTGCATGATTCATACATTTGCATTGTATTTGTCACATCCACACTTTGAATGCTTAGATGTACACTTAAAACATCTTAGGTTTCCACCTGAACTGTATATTACCGATTTGTCAAGTGGCCTATGGGTTAGGTTGCAAAACAATAATTTACAACCTTGAATAACCTTCTATTAGCACCAGCATGAATATAATTATATTCAAAAAATGTATTAGTCAATATAATAGGCTGTAGAAAAAGCTAGTGGTGTGCCAGTTTTCTTCCAGTTGATAAGTACTTCTTTGATGTGATAATTATTAATATTTCACACAATTGCTGGAAACATTACTTTGTGAATTATTGCTTAGATACTGCACATATAGATTTTCTAAAAAATATTGTTTCATGTTGCCAGTATAATGTGTGTGTGTGCTTGTTAATTTTTACCTTGCCCACAGAAAAAGTATAAGGAGGATGCAGAGAGGACGATGCAATACTATGTGCCTGTTCTAGAAACACCGGAAATGCAGAGAGTTCGGGAGAACCAAAAGAACTTTAGCATGGTATGTATATTTTTATTTGGCTGAGTGCTTTGTTTAGTTTATATCTTGCCGTTCCTCACAGAGAGCTCAAGACAGTTAACGGCCTACATAAAACAAACTACAACACACACATTTCATTTATATAATAACTCTAGAATCACCAAGATACAATGGCTACAATACACTTGTCAGCACAATCAGCTCAAATGAAACAGAGCACTTGTTTGTATCCCAGAAGCTGTACAATGAAATATGTTTTTAAGTGCTACTGAATGATAACAGCATGGCAAGGAACCAAATCTCTTTGGGAAAGGTGTTTGTTTCTTTATTTTATTTCTATTCTGCCTTTCTGCCAAAAAAAAAGGCAATCAAGGAATTCCCATGTGTACAGAGTGGCTGAACTGAGGGGAATGCCCAAAATGAAATATGTGTCTTGTTAGGATGCAGATTTTAGCATCATTACCTGTTGTGTATTTTTAACAAGTTAAGTTATAAACAAGCAATGCTGAATTGTTCTGCAAGAGCAACTAAAATTTGTTTTCATTGAACAGCTTCAGTACCAACATGATCTTCAGGACAGCAAAGGAAAAGTCACAGTTGTAAATGAAACACCAGAAATACTACGAGTTAAAGAAAACCAGAAGAACTTCAGCACGGTAACCTTCTATTACCACACACAGTATCATTGCTTTGGTGTTGCAAATGCTTCCACCTGTGAGAATTTTTTTGGATACCAATGAAGCTCCTTGCATATGACAAGTGTCAAACCACACATTACTTTAAACTTGTAGCTAGCAGCTTCATCCTTTGGTCTTTTTTATTCCAAAGTAAGCCCAGATCTTAATCCAGATCAGGAACTAATGCAGGGGGCAGGGGGCCTATAAAGCTTTGACCCTAAAGTGGTCCTGCAGTTACAATTTACATTAGTGAGCCATCAGTACAAATGGCTTATTCTTTGGCATGCCCCCTTAGTCCAGGTCAGGACTGTGGCTAGGGTCCCCTGCACTTACTTTTGAGGGGAAAAAGAAATTAAAACACTACAGTGGCCTATTGCTCGTAAGGCAGTGCATTCTTTGAGCCTAAGCTTGTATGTCGCAGTGCATAGAAACAGAACCTTATCATTTCTAGGACTCTTATTCTCATTAGATGGAGCTGTCTTCACACCTTCTTTTGCTCAGCTACTTTTTGGCTATGCAGCCAAAGGAGTTCAGCACGTGTGCTCATGGTATTAAAGATGGGCTGTCCTTGTTTTACCATGTGACCGTGCAAGCTATGTGCTGGCTTGCGGTGTTCCTGGCTTGCTTTGTCTTTTCGGATTTAATTGTTTGCAACTTGTTGGGTCCTCTTTTAGCTGGTCATTGTTCTTAGTATATTTTAAGCACAGAGGTCACCCAACTTGAGAAACACTGTCATTATGTGATGTCTTTATTGGTTGTGATTACTGCTGGGTGTCTGACCAAAGCAGTGGAAAGTTGCAAGACATGATTTAATTGTAATACATAAAATCTGGAGCAGGATATTTGGGGGGCTCCTTCCCCTCTATAGTACCAAAAAGCTGTTATTAAAAAAATAATGCATTGTTTGACACAGCATGGCCAGAAGATGCCCTCTGAATTTCCTTCAAATGAATGCAGTCAGTTTCTGGGGATCCTGGCCACAAAATTTACCTAAAACCTGTCTTGGGCAAAGCTATTTTGCCAATTCTAGCAAATCTGGCCTTCTTTTTAAAGCTCTGGTTTCTTTCTCTTTGTGATTGCTGTGTACCTACAACTAAGAATAGTAGGTTGAACTTATTTTTTTTTTAATTTTGCCTATGGACATTCTCCTCAGACTGCTGTGTGTATGCATTTGTTATGAGAGACCAGTCAAAACTTTCTTGCTGCTTGAATTTCCACTGTTTTGTAGTCTTTGTGTAGCAAGTTACAATGTTGTTTTCTATGCTCAATCTTGTTGTCTTGGTTAAGATTTTATATAAAGAAGATATTGGAACAGGAACAGCTATTGAAAAGACGCCTGAGATGCAGAGAATTAAACAAACCCAGGATGCAATAAGCACGGTACAAACCCTGATGGATTTTTTTTAACAACCTTACCCTTTGCTGTTCCAACTTATAAAACTTCATCTGCCTTACATGATCCTAACAACCCTTTTGGAATAACTTGCAAACCTATTCAAATAACATGAAAAAACCAATGCCTTCAACTGAAATATAATTTGCTAACTAGCTTGCCCTTTCTATCTTTACTTCTATATTTAAAGTATGATTCACATTATGAAAACTCTTAACTATTAACATTTTCTAATGTTCAACTAATGTTTATTCTTTAATAAAAAAATGGAAATTATATTCACTTTATTATCTTATCCAGAATGCTAATATGATGTTCCTGTCAGAAAATATAGTCACAGAGTTTTACAATTGGTAGTGATTTTTTGGAGAAATGTTGTGTTTGCTATTTTTCTTCTTTTATTTTTTTTTCTCCCTGATTCAACCTCCTTTATCTCTCGTTGTGTATATTGTGTGACATTTAAAAAAAAATCACTGTGATTGTATTTTATACAATGTCTTCCTTTCCTTTTTTTACATTTTGTTAAAAAAAGGTAAAACGACATTTGTATTAGTGTTATGTATGACTCATCCATGTTGGATAGAACAAGATGCCATCTTAAAGTGAGTATAAAAAGTGGATAATAAATACAGATATTCCAATCAGCCCTCCAGCTTCCTTCCACCCCCTCCCTGATGTTAAATCTATATGTCCAAGAGGAGACACCCGGGTAAAGTGCAGAGCATGTGACATGGTGGCAGCAGAGATTACTGCTGCCATTCCTCAGACCGTGCATTGGGCACTCATATAAGCCCCTGAGTTTGGAAAATGCTCTGTGGAGAATTTCACCATAATCCCACAAGTTGAATGGGGCTTAAGTTACACTTGACTAGCTCATGGTTCTGGTTTCAGTAGTATTTAATCCTAATCCTAATCAGAGCAAACAGATCTCTCTAGAGACTCACATGAATATATAAAGAATTGCTGCAGAATTACTGTATCTAGTTAATAAGACTTAAATTAGAGCTACATGTAGGTGGAATCTCCATGCCTTCTGAGTTAGGCAATGACCTGTGGAGATTTCCTTTTGTTGATATGGAAGATCCCCTGCATGTATGATGGCTTGGATCCAGACTTTTTTAAAAAAACCTGTTTTTTAATTGTGTGTTACAGAACAAAAACTAAACAACACAGTAAAAGTAAAATAAAATACTATGTTTTGTTACGTAATATTTAAAGAAATTCATAACACTAAATACAGGTATGTCTTTTGTTCCTATATATTTGTATGTAGCAAGACCTACTACTATTGTTAAAGATAATTATGCATAAACTTTAACACAGGCAGCCCAAATTTGAATATTAATTGATTTGTAAATTGCACCTATAGATCCTCCATTTGAAAATCAAATTTCATTCAGTCTTCCACACATTGTGTTATTGCAATTTCTTGTTTATCCTTTCAGTTTTATAGTATTAATACTTTCAATATCAAAAGTGTATGGAGAATCCATTTGCATTGACCTTGTCTTAAATTCCAAGAGATGGTAGGTAATTAAGAAGGTCATGTATATCACTGAATATGAAAGAACATTAATTCCAAAATCTAACAGAATTATTACCTCCTCCCAAAAGGAAGCAAACATTGGGAATTGTCAAATCAAATAAATAAGAGATCATTAGCTGCATTATGCTTTCACACAGTTGGCTGATTTAATTAAGCCCTTGTCAAAAAGATACTGTGGCCTCCAAGATATGTGAAAAATTAATTTTTGCTGAAATGTAACCTGAGATCTGTTTCCTCTTCCAAAATAGATAACAATGAATTATTCCATTGATTGGGGAAAATGGGGTGCCCTAATTTATCATTCCATTCTTGTTTAAGATCCAGTGTGTATCATTAATAAATAATGGAGCCAGTGTATTGTAGCACAGAATCTAGGAGAGCTGCATTGTGGTCCCCATGCATCCAGAAAGCTGATTGGGTGACTTTGGGCCAGTCATTGACTCTTAGACCTAACCTAAGAGTTGTTGTGAGGATATTATTGAGAGGAAGAGGACGATTATGTAAGCCACCTTGAGTTCCTTTAAAGGAAAAAGGCAGATATAAATATAATAAAGAGATAAAGATATTTATTTATAAAGATGGTAGGCCAATGTAGCCGTTCAGTCTCAATACTTGCAAGAACACAGGCAGCTTTGAAGCTGAAAAAAGCAAGCGGGCCAGACCTGAAACAAATGTTTCAACTGCAATACTGTCATTCAGCCATCATTGGCAATTTATAGTTAGCACACAAAGTAAAAACTGGCAGAGAGTTGTCATCAGGACCAACAACTGATCCAAAGTAAAAATCCATCCAAGTCCTCGAAACAAAGGTTTTCTTGTCAATATTTAAGTCTGGATTTCCTCATAGAGTAATTTTTCTTGGGTTGGATCCAAGCTTAGTCATGCTTAGAGTTAGACTTACTGCAGTAAATCAGACTTTAGTCATGACTTATTTAAGTCCCATTGATTTCAATAGGCTTACTCTAACAATGACTGTCTGGATTCAACTCAAAAGTTTATTGTTTGCATCAGAGGACTATGGAACTTTAACTTATTTTAATATGTTCCAGTGTGAATAAGCCAAGGAAAGTAGGATCATTTGAACTGAATGATCATACTTTCCTACACATCCTGGCGAACTTCATACTGGTGTGTAACTCAGGTGGAAGGAATTCATTATTGGCAATAGCTAGAGTAGCAACTTGATAACAGTAGCGCATTGGATTGCAGCAGAGAAGTTCCATAAACATATAAGCATACTCTGCTGCTCTCTGAAAATCTACTCAGCATTGTCTGTCTGGCCCCTAGAAGATGGGGCCAGGGATTATTAAAGAGAAGCTTCATGATGAACTCCATGAACAAAAGACAGTGTACTAGTTGTCATTCAACCACCTCATTCCAAACTCTTATACGTGTTGACTGATAAAGTGGTTTTGTTTCGTTTTGGTTTTGGTGTTCACCCATGACCCTTCTGCTGCTATTGAATTGTAGATAGCATTGTAATCACATTTCACATTTCTGCAAAGACATTGTTGCCTAATTTTCTACAGATCCCAGGCTTGATGTGGGCCCTTCCATATGGATGCATGCAGTGCTTTTAGCTCCCACAAGTGGGTGGGAGCTTACATTGCTTATTTTCTCTGTACTCTCATGTGCAATGGATATGTATGTCTTACGTGGATAATGTAAGTTGATTTTTGCTTTGTCTTGTTTCTTCTGAACTGCACATAACTTTGTAGATTAAGTACAAGGAACACATTGGAAAAGGAACTCCGATTCCTGATCTTCCTGAAGTAAAACGTGTCAAGGAAACTCAGAAGCACATCAGCTCGGTAGTGGCTGATTATTTTCTATGCTCATTTGTGTGCAAGAGTGTGCTGCTGGTCACATTACTAAACAGCCTTTTATCCCCCTTGCTAACCTGTGCCTTCATCATCAGGCCTCTGGCTTAGAGAAGCAGTCCTCTTACAAAAGCAGTCCTCTACTGTTACCCAAGGTTTAACTTCCAGAAGCTTTGGCAACTGATTTTTGCATTTCTTGAGAGAAGGATATCAACCTATTTAATGCTGACCAGACAGTGAAGCACCAAAAGTCTAAATGACAAGACCCAAGGAGGCAAAAGCAAAACAGATAATTTACAATTGGCTTCCTTGTAGTGGTACCCCAACATCTTCAGATTGTCCTACTTACCTGCTCGTCCAGAGACACTCTGGACATAATGCAAAACAAAGTGTCATGTACCTGAGCCCGTTCACATCAACAGGTTTAAGTGCATGTGGCCTTGGTACTATTACTCAGTATATTTAATTATTTCTACCTATTTAAACTCTTTATATAACAGTGTATGGCAAAATGATTCAGCAAATCTGAGCACCTATTTCACCTGATTCTTGGTTCTGAAATTCCACATATTGTATCCATGCTTACTTAATTCAACCTTTTCTCTTATTTAATAAGGTAATAACATCTTAATTGGCCACATCCTAAGTGGCATAAATAGCTGAGGTGATTTCATATCCTTTACTAGGAGCACCTCCTGTAACTTACAGTGTAAGTAAGTGTACTGCTGTATTGCAGATTTGCCAGGAAAACAAGGGAATTCTGCCTAAGCAAGCATGGATTCCTAATTCATGGGCCTCTTGAGTGTTTCAGTGAGAGAACTGTGCTGACAATTATCATGAAAATATGAAGCTATACCAGTAAATCTTCCTTTCTCCTCTCATTACCTTTGTACTTTTCCCCTTTCCCTGAGCTCTTTGCAGTACTAATTGTTTTCCGAATTTATTTTTGCATAATCCAGTTTCAAGTCAGGCACTACAATGCCTGTTTCTAACATTAGATTTGCCTCTGCTTACTTTATGATGTTTTGAACTGACTGAATGTCTTTTTCAATTAACTGTGGGGGGTTTTTTCTGATTGGAGAAGGGGACATTTTTTAAAGGAGTGAAATGCAGGACATTGAATATGTTTTTCAAAAACCTGACAAAAACTTTCATTTTTTTATCATTTTTAAAACAAAAACAAAAGGATTTGACAATAGTTGATATTAAAATAATGTTTTAATCACATTAGATACCTTTTCCTAAATTTGGCCCTAGATTATGGCTCAGATCCACTCTCATAACAGAGAATGCTGTGCAAACATCACATTTCTTCAATACCAGTAATATAATCTGTTTTGATCAAAGGAGAGTTTCTGGATGTTGGACTTCCCCAACCAAATCAGGGAGTTAAACAGAAACTACATTATGAAAGAGGTACTACCTCATCTACTACCTGTAGATGCAAGAGTCTGGAGCTCTTCCTTGGAGATATCTCAAAGAGTCCTAACAACACAAAATACTGATGGAATTAAGACAGCAACTCTTGTCAACATGACACACCATTCCTTCAGGCAGAGTGGAAAGCTTGCTAATTGGGCGATTTTGCAACACCCCTGCCCCTGGGTTCAATGCTCGAATATCAGTATGCAAAATAACCAACATGTGTTAACCAACATTCTGCATTGTGCACAGGCTTTTGTGACTAGCTGTCCTCCTTCCTTCTCACCTTTGTGGGTGTTTGTATTCTACAGGTTTTGTACAAAGAGAATACAGGGCAAGGAACTCCGATACCCGTTACTCCAGAGATAGAGAGAGTCAAACGCAATCAAGAACACATTAGCTCGGTATTTGTCAATGAAATCAGAACTACCTTAACAACTCATCTTAAACAAAAAAATAACATTCTAACCTCTCTACATTGTGCTACATGCCATTTTTGTGCTTTAACCTTTTAATTTACAACATCATGCACATTAAAATCATTATTTAAAAGAAAATAATTTTTAAAAGAAAAAATATACCTATCATCTTCAATAAAATTAACACTGCCTTCCTCTTCCACACATTTGCTTCCTTTAACTGCTGTATCTGACCTCCTTTTCAATTCACATTTAATGAATAATCTATAATGATTCTGTGCTTTCTGCTTTCAGTACTAGTCAAAGCATGGGATTAAACATGCACCGTTACTACAAAGTACTAGTCATGATACCATTGTAACTATCACATCTGTTCTAGTGTCTTTTGTGGATACTTCATTGTACCCTTACAGGTGCTTTACAAAGAAGACTTGGGGGCAGGAATGGCAACTCCTGTTACCCCAGAAATGGAGAGAGTCAAGCGTAATCAGGAGAACATTAGCTCGGTACATTGCAAAATATCTATGAATAAAACCCGTTAACCATCACCATCCCATGCTAAATATTTCTTTATATCTTAATCCTTCCACAAAACACTGAATATTAGCTCATCATGTTAGTTGAATCACTAAAATGTTAGTCACTGAAGCGAAGCATTAAAGCACTAACTTTGCCATACTTCTGCAGTGATTTTTAACTCTCCTTCTGATATTCTTTTCCTCTTCTTGCCTCTCCAATATAAGATAATATTATTTGTTTTAAAACAAATGATATTCAGAGTGAACTTCTTGTATCCCTATAACAGAATATGTTTCTAATAGCCTTTGGCATCCATGTGTTGATGCAGTGAGAGGTTAAAATAAAACCCTAACATTTTTTTAAGTAGAATCATAAAATGTTAATTCTGTTCATGTTGTTAATCTATTGCTGATAAATGTAAGTTTGGAAACTGCTAGACTTGCTAACTGGAACTGCAGCAGTGTTAAAAAGAAAAAGAAAAAAGAATGGAGCTGTAGTGTACTGAATTCCTTGGGCTAAATGGCCATGTATCTCAGTTATCCATGCCAATACCTTCATCACCGTAATATGGGGATCCTTATTATTCCTCCATAGTTGCCCACAACACACTGCCGCAGTGACTGTCCTCTCTGCACCCATTTCCAGATCCTTCTTCTGAAACATCTGTAGGATAGCTTATTCCCTCGACTCATCCTATAGCCTTTTCTTCATGACAGCAAAACAGGCTGAGAAAACGAGAGCAAGAAACATATTCTGGCCCTTGATGCTGCTCCCACCTTTCTTAAGGTTGCATGTTCTAATGGTTGGCCCTTTGTATATGCAACTGGGATGGTAGAGGCAGACTTCCCTGCCCTCTTCTCTCTGCAGAAGCACCTCCAGCCCAGGTAATAGTACAAGCGTGTCAGAGGATCCTGCTAGATGGAGTAGACTGATGCAGGATGAGAGTAAGGAATCCCACAAACTAGAGAGAGGTGTTTTCCATGAGCACTGCCCTCCCATCCCCAAAAAGCAGATCCTGGATGCAACTCCATGTCAGCAGTCCTTCAAATGACTTTTGTACCAGAAGAAGGTCTCTGGTTATTGCCATTTACTTTGTGGCAACAAGGGAGAATGTGAAAAAACAGCAGAGGTGGCAAAATGTTCCTAATTTCATGCAAAAGTTACATTAAATTATTTGACTATGCACACAGAGTATGTGTTGGACCCATCCTATGCATATCTATAACTAATAATATTAGTTATTATTGGCACTTATAACTTTCTGCTAATGCTAGGATACTGATCCAGTATACCCAGGTCAATGAGTGCTAGATTCTCGTGTCACAGATTGTGCCATTCAAGGCCAAATTTCAGTTGTGCTACTGTATGCACCATGTTCAGGAGAACTATGCCACCCCTGCACCTCTTAAGTGCATACATGGATTCAACCTAATTATGTTTGGTTGGGCTGTAATGCACATTTAATGACAAGAACTGTTGAAATATGCAGTGTATTTTTGTTTTTTGGACTTTTTGTGGTTTTTGTTGTGTTTTTTACATGCATTCTGGACTGCATATGAGAAACTGACAAGTTGCATTGTGTTCTCTATGTTGATCATGTATTTTTAAATGCATCAGATAATTTTTTCTATTTTTGACACTTCCCTTGTCACACAGGTGTTGTACAAAGAACATTTAGGGACTGGAACCCCAACACCTATTACTCCAGAGATGGAGAGAGTCAAACGCAATCAAGAAAACTTTAGCTCGGTATTTTTGTAATAAAAATGCCATTTAACTCCCTTAAAAATTTAATTAACCCTTACCAAACTTAACTCCTCCTCAATAACATAAAATACATTGATTTTTATAATCAAACTTGGTTTTAGTAGTTGAATTGCTTAATCAGTGATTTTATCCCCTTTATCCATTATTTCCTTTTATTTCTTGGATAGTGCAGAACTTGCTCCCAATTCATTCTGGTAGTTATTGTAAATATGTATGGAAAGAAAACAGCGGTAGTTAAAAGACAAGTTTTTCTCTGTATATTAGGGCACAATCCAACCAATGTTAAGTAATACTAGTTTCCTTTGATTTTAGCGTGCGAGAAAAAATACATACTTAAAATAACCCATTAAAATCAATGGAATTTAAAAGTACCTCTCTTTAACTGGATCATATGCTAATATTATTTTGGTTGTGAAAAGATATTACTTCAAATTACATTATTCTCCAAATACTTTGTTTTACTTATACATTAAAGACGATTGGCTCAGATTCTTTGCCACTGGATGAGACCACAATCCTGTATATTCTCATCAGCAAGTAAGTCCAGCTGAAGGAAACCAAGGAGATATGCATAGGATTGTGTGTTATGGTTTTAAATTTGCAGTACAAGAATAATCCCGCAATAAAGGGGACTTACTTTTCAATAGACTGGTAAAGGAGTGTGCTGTCAGTGATGTTGCTTAAATTTGTCTTTCTGGCCTTGGAAATGCAAGGGAAGTATTACAATCCCATACATGTTCTCCGGATCTGATTTTAATCTGAGCTATAATATGATTGAACCCCTTACTACACCACTCACCCACTCAGTTCTCAAGTTCTTTGTTCCCATTCTGTCATGATCTTTCAAGCCCCTTTTTCTCTACCCCTTTTACTCAGCCACTGGTTCTGGCAATAATGTTAGCATTGGAAAGTCTCTTCTTTGCCAAGGACACCGTAACCTGTTACTTTTCCTTGGGGAAATTTCCCATGTTTCCCATATGTAACTGCATATGGCACACTGATAACCAGCACGTCAAGGAAAATCTCTCACTGCTGCCACTGCTGCTGCAGCTAGCAACCCATAAGGCAGGTGGGAGGACCGGCCTGTAGCTGTAAATGAGGGGTATGGAAGATGGAAAAGGACTAGTGTGGGTGCAGCAAGGCTTGTGGCCATAAGCTGGAGACAACGTTGATGGCACGTAGCAACAATATTCTGCGTTTTGGAGAAAGCAGACCCCTAAACCAGGTTAAAAGCCTAAACCTGTTTTCTTGAAAAGTTATTTTCTCTAAAATACTGGGGAAAAAAATTTGTTTTCAGTACTACACCATCTGCAGTTAACAAAGCCCCAGTCAATGAGGGCGGTACTACAGTGTTGTAGACAGACTGATGCTACGGTGGCAGAAGTAGTACAAAGTAACCATTGAGGGACCATTCTGTCCCTCAGTCAGCTGGTTCTCTGTTATGAACTTTATTGTTTATTTGCCTTTCTCATACATCAAAATGATCCATAGGATGTTTTGCAGATTGCTGAGACAATGCCATGTCAACCTCTTTGCTAATTAACTAGTTCAACAAAATATTCTGTTCAGTATTTATTTGCACACAGTTCTTTATATTCATTAAATACCACTGCAGGGTTTAATTTTTTTACCATTAAATGTAACATATATCATCCGAGCCAACCAAAATGTACCACCAATTTAACTTTGTTCTGGCTTTGTCCATATTGACTTTCATGGGGGAGAATTAACCCCAACCAGAGCCGGGTACCTGGCTTTTCCCTGTTACTATGGCATATTAATTTTATAACCATAGCTATCATGTCTCTGCATAGATGGACACAGCCATATATGGGTGATTTGGGGGAAGGAGGCAACTTTGTGTCTGCTTCCATGAATTTATTTATTTATTTATTAAAACATTTTTATGCCGCCCCATTCGCCGAAGCCTCGGGGCGGCTCACATCAATATTCCATGTGTTTGAGGTCTTGTCTGTGCTGGGAACTACATGCCTTTGCCACAGTGTGCGTAAAGTCTTCACATGAGATCTACATCCTCTCTATTATGGCAGAGTACAGAATGCATGATCAAAGCAGATATTCATGGGTCATTTTACAGAGGACCTCAAACAAAGAAAGTAAAATCAGTAGCTTTAAATGTGACTTCAACACATACTTCACTGATCAATATACACGCTTCAAATAGGCCCACGTATGCAGGGCTAGAGCAACTGGAGACAGGAGAACTGGACATTGTTGCCTCAGAGATTTACATACATTGAATAGAACTTTAATATCATATTTATTCAAAGATAAGGTTCCATTCTGACCCTTTTAAGACTAACTTTATTAAGTACTCATTCCATTTCCTTACATGTAATTGACTTTTAGAACAAATATCCAGCCTACCATATTCAGTTACCAGTCACCTTATTTACATTTTTGCATCTTAATCTTTTTATCAATAATCCAGCATTTTGTTAATAGTTTTTCTCATTGTTCCAACTGTTTTTCTTTTTTCAATCACCTTGATTTTTAAAAAGTTGTTGTTTTGTTCTGCGTGACATCATAAAAATCGTATGGTCTGAATCTCCAACAGGGTTGAAATACAGTACATTCTCCATTAAAAGTGTGTCAAGCCAAATAACTAATAAGAAATTCTGCAATTAACATTCAGAATATGTAGATTCTATATAATTCGAACATTCACAGTTCGTTCTTCAACCTCCACCTTTCTAAGCTTACTACATGTTATATTTCTACCTGGAAAATGTTTACCCTGTGATATATTTCACAGTGGTTTCTTTGCTCTTTTCATGGCTAAGTCTCCTGTGATTTTAGCATGACAAAACAAAGCTTATATAGAAACTGGCTGATGTCAGCATAATGGCTTGTGGTATAATGTGATCAAAATATCCTATGATGAATCTCTAGATTATCTACTGCAAGGGGCATTTTATGTTACATGCATAATTAAGAAAAGATAAATCTGCAAGAATATCCATCTGTATAAGAAAACATAAACTTTACAAAGCCCATATGTAAATTCAAGCTTAAACTCATCCAGCTTTTAAACCATCATGAAATTTCAATTGGGGTGAGTGGGTGGGGAGGGTTAGGTCCTTGAGCATGGTCACCTATTAGACACATTTAAGTCCTGCTGACTTTAGTCTGACTGTTAAGAACATAATTAACTTATTCCATCAAATAAATGGATCTTAACTGTGCCTACACTTGATGGAGAACATTATTTGTATATTATATGTAGGTGACGATCTCTGGAAAAGGGAAGAAACCACTGGAAAAAATATTGTGGAAATATGACATGGACACAATGCTCATATGGTATTTGTGAAAGCATGAGACTCATACCAAGGAGGTTTAAGACTATCTTTTTGGGCAACCCTCAATTAACTCTTGTTTTTCTTTCCTTTCCTTTCATTTTATTCTGTAATCCCTTCTCCTCATACAGGTCCTATACAAAGAAAGCCTAGGGACAGGGATACCAACTCCTGTCACTCCAGAGATTGAAAGAGTCAAACACAACCAAGAAATCTTTAGCTCGGTACTCCTGGGAAAAGAGTTATTTTAATTATGCTTTGTATCCTGAATTAACTTTTTCCCTGTCATCTTAGCTCCTTCTTGTCAATGGACTTACACTGTTTGCTCGAGGATAGTGTCACATTCTACAACCTTTTAACATTCCCTTCCTTCCTATGTCTTCTCTTCAATCCCCCTCCAAAAGTAACAGTTTATTCTCTCACCACCTCAACTGCTTTGCAAATTGCCTATTGTTGATAGATGCAACAATTGCATATACTTCAAAAGATGCATAACTCATTAAAACAAAACTAGCCCTTGTTTTCTCAGGAGAAAAGAAAGGGTGCTGTTGTGCATTGTTTTAAAACCCTAACACAAACACCTGGCAAAATAATCACAAATAAAAGCTACCACAGTGCTTCAATAATATAAATATGTGTAATTTTACTACTGGCTTATCAGATTACTCTTCTATCCCACAGGTGTGGTACAAAGACAATATAGGGAAAGCAACCCCAACTCCTGTCACTCCTGAGATGGAGAGAGTCAAACGCAATCAAGAACACATTAGCTCGGTATTCAAAAAAAGAGGAGGGAGAAAGACTTGAATTCAAGTTTTTTTTAAATGACTTTAGATGTGTTAATGATTTATGCTTTCTAACAAAAAATATTCCCAGTTCACCTTTTAGTGTAAGGCTTTTACCTTTTGAACTCTTTCTTCAACCTAAACTTTAACATATTAGTACTAGAAGTTGACTTACCCCTTCCATTTTTCAGCAACACAGAACTTCATCTTATGTTTCCTAGTTTTCCAGCTTTCTCATCCTACTACATTATTTTCATA